AAGTCTTTCCAGAGTTGGCAGAATCGTCTGCAACGTTGCATAGATGTTAGTGGAGAGTACTTTGAGGGAATGGAATAGTTTTATTAATAATTATTATGTAATTTCGAGAAATAAAGAATCAACGACAAAACTTTTCAGCATCCCCACGTACTACAACATTTCCAATAATAAATAACAGATATTAATATTTTATTATTACAAGAGATGAAGCCACCCCAGGGAAGGAGTTCCACTTCAGTTTTACCTTCAGCAGTAACCAAATTATTTTTTCCGTCTGGGGGAAAGATTGTTTATATAATCATTATTCGAATTCATCACTCTAGTACTCAATTTCTATCCCAGACGTCTGCTCGCGAACTATGATCAAGTGATCAAGTTGGTGTTCGAAATCTAAGTTATTATTATACAAGAGCCGCCAGAGTTTCACCAACCCCCGATCCAGAATACACGGGAGTGAATTTTCGACCAATCAAATAATTCTGTAGTAAATAGCAAAAAATCGACTTCAGGCGGGCAGAATTAGAATTCTGGATATAAATTCACGTATAGACACATCAGTTTGATGTCGACCATTCGATATCTTCTGCTCGATAGTCGGGATGGAAAAGACTATATATTGTCTGGAGGCGCGAGTGTAGTCACAATCTTATGCTATTGAACACAAAATATTTGCTTTGCAAAGTATTGGTCCTAAATTTGCATCAGAAGTAAACAATGATCCATCTATCACGACCGAGAATGAGAGTTTATATTATCTGTAAGCAATTAAACTTCTCTTTTAAGGCCGCTTGTTTCTGAATGGCATCTACCCAGAAAATATGTAAACGTTCGCATGTCTTATGTATCATCAACCCTTACAAGTTTATGGACGTTTTCTCCACTGCTATTCCAGCGATTTGCTTTTATCCCGACTGGAGTGTGGATTTCATATACAAGTGAAACGTATTCTTGGACTCGCTGGTCATATATGACCTGCAGAGGTGGATAACCCAAACAAATCAATAATAACATATCAAGAAAGAATACTCACTTGAAATTGTATCCAAGATTCCACAAATTCATCGTAATTTGGCCGTTAAGCAGAAAAAACGCCCGAATACGGAAAATGCAAAACAACTTCGTGAGCGTGTTATGCTAAGGAAAGTGGATAATCATCAGATGAATACGAGAATAGAGACACGTTCGATTGTTCACTACTGTCATTATATTGAGGAAGTATCTCACATTATCAAAAGCAACGCTTCTGCAGCCATCACTAGCAGGATGCTTATATTTAAAAATATGGCCATTACTATCTTAATCTTCTGTTTATTTGACCGCAACCATCTTGCTCATTCCGGGTCTTACCGTCCAGTTTAGTGATTATACGAATTGAATACATTAGCCAATGTTGCTTACTTAAGACCTGTAGAACGAAGTTCCATTAACCAACGTTAATAAATGTACACTAGCATATGTGATCTTGTTCGGTGATAGTCTTCGATTAATCGGACACGTGATTGAAGTAATGCATTATTTTACATAGCCATTAGTTCAAGGCAGCTTGAACTTATATACTCATTCGATGCTTTCAAATCTGCACTGCATATTGTCAGAATTTTCTATTAACGATTGTTCCGTCGGAAACTTTTATTGCTTACTAAGAATGCAGTTTTAAAAGTTCTATGACAACCTATTATGCAAGTGTAATGATTGAAGTAAAAGATGGCTGAATGAAATGTAGGTATATGCGTCTATTTAGAGGGGTTGTAAAAATATGATGATGTGTTGGGATCGTTATACTATGCCACTTTCTTATAAATTAAGTGACAAATATATTTGTTATCGTGACAGATTAAAACGAAATCGGATTAAAATGAATTTTAATAGGAAATTAGTATACACATACTGACCAAAAGTATTGGTCACATGACGATCATCATCAAAAACGCAAAATTTTATTCGATCATCATCGTGTGACCAATACTTTTGGTCAGTATGTGTACATCGAATCAAATCTCATGTATGACATGAATTTATCTAAACCGGTCACAAATAGACGCCCCAAGGGATGATACTTGTTGCGGTAATTAAAATGGTTTTTTTGGGGGGGTTTCAGAGACATTAAGGTCGCATTAGCTATTGCCAAATAAGGTATTAATGGGGTAAATAGAACTTTTATTGAGATTGTATCATGTATTGATCGTACAAGTAGTCCCAAAAAATACTGATTTATTATATATTAATATGGTATCACCCTTCACCGCCCCTGACTGTTTTGGTAATTGAAAATTTTATATTACCAAATATGGTAAGGACGAGGAACTAGTGAGGGCTATCTAAATAGAATTACCAAATTTCATTTTAATCCGAGAGGTGATACAGGGAGTCAGCGATTATATAATCTGATTATGACTAATAATTGTGGCTATGTTTCTTATAATTTCTTGGTACACTCACCGGAAAAAAGTATCGACAAAATCCGCAGATCAATTAGTAAAACATATGAAAAATCTTTTTCTTCAAAGAGCATCTTAAAGCTGCAGTTCGATGAAGTGGCAGTATCTATGTTACACATATGTTTTTAATCGATTTTCATATGTGTAACATAGACACCGCCACTTCATCGAACCGCCGTTTTAGTACGATTACGGAACTGAACATATCATTATTTTTTTCGAAAAATACAATCAATTAGCTTCACAACGGTATCTAAATCATTGTGATTCACATAGTAAATACGTACAGTAGAGCTCTTTGAAGAAAAAGATTTTTCATATGTTTTACTAATTGATCTGCGGATTTTGTCGATACTTTTTTCCGGTGAGTGTATGTTATCGTTATGCTCAGATTCCGATGTTCTTGGCCGTCGTTACACAATTACAATTTAACGTGGGGATGCGCCGCAGGCATTTATAGGGCGAATAAACGAATTCCAGTTGATCTGATTTCGCATTTTGTTTGTTAATATTAACATAATAAATAATGAGACAGCAGACTATGCTGTTTTGATTCAAAAGAAGAAGAAGATATGACTACAACTGTTAACATAACACAATCGAAAAATAGGGATAAATGGAGATGGATGGATAACGGTCTGCTTACATTCGATTCATAACGATACAATAACGATACTCATGCTTTTTCCATTTACCCACAATGCCTCCTTGTTACCATAAATGTGTATACAGGGTCTTATTGTAACAGCTTGTGTCATTATTGTATTTTCATCATAACATTTCAGCACACAGTTGTTGACTATTCTATTAGTTCGTTGTATTAACCACTCCTTTTGCGAAAAGGTTATTAAAAACATCAGCCACTACATAAATTAGTTAGATGATCTATGACATATTCAAATGATGAATGCAGATCAGGATTTTATGTAATGTGACGTAAATGGACAGTTATTCTAACAAATACAGTTTTATTAAATTAAATGATTGCTTTGACGGGATGGTTGACACTTTGTCGATCAGAAATCTTTGATAATCAATATGCAAAAGAAGAGTGAGTGCTTATTCACGGCAATATACGGTAATTTCTTCACTCGAATCGTTCTAATCTAGCTGACTAAATAGGTGTCTCCTTGTCAATAAATCGTACGTATGCAAAGCGGTGATTGTATAAAATCATCGACGGCTTCTATAGCGGTTTGTTCGAATAATTGATTAATGTACACATGTTACATATTATTTTTATGTATATGAGTGCCTCCGCAGTTACGTAAGCTTTTTTGTTAAACCATTGGTTATTCTAGCTATATCTCGATAATCGGACGTTATATTGCACGCCAATATCTTCCGTGTTCCGGGATTTACAACGCAGCCCGGATCAGAACGCAGCTCAAATCAGAACGCAGCTCAAATCAGAACACGGGAACATATGAGATAATCCATAAGCCCCGTTCCGATCTGGTTATGTTCTGATCGGGGCTGCGTCCCGATATACGGGCCAGAACATTTACATACAACAAATATATCCGGATATGTAAATGCGGTTTTTAGGGACCCCAAACGGGATTTACATACAACAGATTCAAATGAGAAAATAGTTTGCAGTTCTCTAAAATCGGGAAACACTACAAGAGCGTAAATGTGACAAGTAATTGTTATAGAACAAATAGTTATATTTGAGTTTATGAACTTTTTAATTGAACAAGTAAACTTAATTTAATTTAATTGGCGTTTGGAAGCGTAAAAACCAGGTAATGGCTCTGTTGGCGCGTGATGTAACACTAATATACTATAATACTGACCCTGATGCATAAATTCAAATATAAGTATGTATTGTAATAATAATACCACGTATTGTTCGGCAACGATAACGCAGCCACAAGTGATGTTATATAAAGAACAAATTCCTGATGGTGAAAAATGCTAGTATAACAACTAATACACAGCGCAAAAACTCCTATAAGTTTTACAACAAGTTTCTCCGTCGTTAGTTTTTTACAAACGTACAACGCCTTTGGAGAAGACTCTTATTTGTTGGTTAACCCAAAATACTTAATAGAGTAGTCAATAATACCTCCAAACTTACAGAAAATATAAGAAAGCCATCATTACTGATCGCAACTGCAGTCTTATTGTTATCATTAAAAGTATGAGTAGAGCGTGGTCGTCAAAGGTATTTTTTTAACAATAATAAGTTGTATTCGACTACACTGGTATACACTCATCAACATCTAATCTCTTATCTGTACACAGGAAGATGAATTCCTTGTTAGACTTGGCAACGGAGAAAATGGAAGAAGGATGAGAGCAACCTATTTGAATCATAAAACCGCAAAGCAATGTGCTGATAGGTTGAAAGACATTCGGGGATGTATGTACTTCTATTAAGCAGCATTATTTTTGGTTTTTGTTGGGAATTTGGGTGGCTTGGTCTTACGCACTTGTTGTTCAGCACGTAACTTACTAACACAATTTGTATTCCAACAGATATCGACAGACCATTTACTCCTTTTGAGTATAATATGATTCGGCAGTTGTACCAGAAATATGGCCCTCGATGGAGAAGAATGTCCGCAGTTCTCCGCCGTCCTCCTCAAGCAATAATGGAGTGTTGGCTTTCTTTAAAAGCTATGGATGATGAGATACGCAAACAAATGTCTGTCCAACGACTTCTTTCTTAAAACTGTTTCGGCATGACTGCGGTCGTTTTTATGGAAAAAAGCAAGATGTAAAACAAGCAATATGAACAAGCAAATAGTGTGAGAAAATAGCACTGTTCCCAAACTATATGGCAGAAATATGCACCACGCAATTAAGTTAATGGGGGCTATTAAGGCATATATGTATGAAAGAATTTGTAAGATTATCCGTTTGCTAGATTGGCTATATTTTTTGATCGGTCTAGCCAGAGACCCGTTATCAAATAAACGATACCAACTATGTTAGTTATGATATAATTAATAAATATTATGTACAGTATATTACATAACTAAAAGATCATGCCGGTCCTCTATACTGGACTGACTCTTGTGCACCGTTCGTTTTATTATTTATGTGAAAATGCTATAACAGAAAATTACACAATACGGCTTATTTACGATGTGAATTCATTCTCATTTTCTGTCACTTTCATCGAATTCATCTCTTGCTTTATTTTATACATGCCAATTTTAAAAGACGAAAAGGTCAATCTTTATCTGATAAATCGAACTGGAGCAGAATCTATTAACATTTTTGCAAAACAAGAAATAGGCAACGTTAAGTGTGAATATCCATTATTATCAAACACTAGCAGACCTTGCAATACTGTGTAAAATGTGAAACTACCATTGTTGATGATAATTAAAAAACGTTGTATATCTAACAATTTACCATACAATAACCGGGTGATAATATTAATGCATAATGTTATAATTGCACCGTTTACGCGTCATTTAACCATGCCAGAGATTATATAAATTTTTTCGCCGGCATATAGTAATAGTACCGTTTCAAAAGTTTCCGACCATCCCCTGTATTTGCGATTAGTTGTGAACAACGGCATAAGATATAATTGCGTTGACTAAAGTCAGCGCACCTCATAATCAACTTACTGTATATTCAAACTACTGTATATTATTTATTATATAATATGCCTAACCCGATCACTAGCCTATTATTGCATTCGATTTTAGTATGATATAGTGCAAACCAGTTCAAGATATTATTTTCATGACAATGTTACTCTTGTAATCAACAAACTGGCTTGATTTCGCTTACACACATATACAATAAAAGTTTTGATGGCCAGAACGAGATTGAGTCAGTAGCAGAAACAGACCATAACTGGTATACGGGTGAGAGTATAAGCAAAAATGTTGACGTGCGGGAGTAGTTTCTATGCTAATGTCAGCAGAATAATCACAATTACTAATAAAAAGTTTCTATTACAGTTTGCCTTTATTATACAATACGCAACAATCTACATCTTACAAATTCTTATATACGAGCATACAGTTTTGCTTATTCAGTACGGGTTTACCGTAACAAAAATTGGCATTTTTAAGTCATGTTGATAAACTTGAAATTATTGAGTTTTCCCGTCAAGACTGTAATTAAAAATGGACAAAATTTAACAAAGTAGGTAAATAGTATGAACAAGCAGTGGCAGTGATCAATACTTACACCAAGTCCATCACACGCAATAGTAATTAGAACATTTTCATTGTTTAAATCATTTCTATTATCAACATTACGTATGTTTACAGTGAAATCTGCACGTCTTTGCTCAATGTTAGTCCTTTTATCAATGCGTTCCCATTTCTTCAATGTTATTGTTTCTCTATTTCTTCGACCAGTATCGGTCGGCCGCCTTCTGTAAAATTTGTAAATGCTGATAAGGGACTGCCACACAGTAAAGATTCCAATTATCAAATTGATGACGAACAATGCATCTACCATTGATAAATCCGCTTGGGCGTTCTCAAAAAAAGTGGAATAATTTGGTTAATTTCCGACTAGAGTGGGTATATATAATGTTTCCAAAATAATGCGCGCAGCCACGATAGCAAATAATACAGTACGTGTCACAATCTGGTAGAAATATGTAACATCACCCGAAAATGGAAGGAATGAATATGATTGAAAGTCGATATTTTCAATAAATGTTACATAATTCGGAATACAATCAATTGGCTTCCAAATTATGTAAAACTTATTGGCGGTTTTCTATAAAAAAATGAAACTTTCAATCATATTCATTCCTTCCATTTTCGGGCGGCCTTTGATGTCACATATTTCTGCTCGGCCGTGGCACTGTATATTTCCTATGACCGTGCCTTCTCCATCTCATATAAATAGTACTATTCGAAGGTAGAACATTCTCTTTCCTTATTGAACCTCTGTTATATAAAGTATTGTGGCGAAGTCAAATTACTAGACAACTTTTTATAAACATGTAAAATTTTACAATATTTTTGACACATAATTTACGCTCAATTTAGGATAAATCTATCATAAAATATTGTTACGACAAACCATTTGTTCGGGATGCAAATGACTGTTATGTGACGAAATACAAAATGCCGAACTATTTTGGGGGTATTATGGCGAAATTGTCTTACCGTATTATAGAATGTCATTAATGTTATCGCATCTCATGGTTATGTCTTCTTTTCTTTCTTTTTTTGTGCACGTTCTTCTCTTTTGGGCCGCAACTTTTTTTCCTCGTTGCTTATAAGGCAATCATTGTAATATTAATATTAATAGTAATGCTAATGTCGTTTTAAGAAATTTTATTATTTACAAATGCAAAAAATCGTCATCGCAACATATTAGTATATTTGATGGATTATGACGACTGTTTTTCCATATTTAACATCAATGCACCGGATTATTGTCAAAGTTTTTCACCAACTCACTAATGGTTGTTGCTTAGAACCACACGTATAACGATTCAGCTTGAGACTGAGTTATGTATTTATTAAAAGGGAATATTTTATATAAAAATCTGCTGTAAATTGATAATATTAATCGTTCGCCACAATACCCCATTTTATCTTAGGTTAAATTATGTAGTAGCACCTCTGTGATTTGCCTGCAATATGTTAAAATTAGCGTCAGCCCATACCTGCGTAGTTTGGCAATAAGGTCATACTCTGTAGTGTACAATAACTATGCAAAGCCATCGCTGGTACAGTGGAACTTTGATGTAAATTTCCACAATCAAGGTTTTTTGTACTTATAAACTTGCATAATTATAAAACAATTGTTAGCTATAACAACACCTTGTGAGCTTTCAACTATTTTAATCACTTTCTCTGCCTACTTAAGACCAACTGTTGAATATCAAAGCCAGTATCAATATTTAGCCCAGCAGCATTACATATTACAATAGGAATTGTTCAGCGGGCAGTGGAGCTGATGGTGGATAGCAATATGACAAAAAAGTTGATGCATAATATTAATTGCTTATGTTTCAATGATATTTAGAATAAATTTTTAATTTAGTAAGCGAATAATTGTAACTTGATGGAAACTGTAGGCTATCTTTTTCACCAAGAAAATTAATCTTCCAGTACTAAGTAAACCTGCTTAAATAACAAATGCTACCGTGTTTTAACAATTTAGAGCTGGTCAATTAATATTTTTGCTATACAATGGCCTTGGCAAACCAAGGCTTGCTTTTCTTGCATAAAAGTTAAATACAAAAAACTTAATTGAAAATTTTTTGTGAATTCAATTATCTCTTTATTGCAAGTAGAATTTGTTATAGTGAACAACACGGATTACTGCCAAGAGTTTAGCTTATACATAAAAACTTTGTGAAATTGCATTTGATAAGCACCGCCTTTATTTTTTGCCGGGACTGTATGATCAACTATATAAACGCACCTTGCAATGGACAAATATTATGATCAAGATATTTTGTCTTCTGTAATTCAAAGAATGTAGTAGCAGTGCCAACACTAAAATAGATAAGACTTTAATGCTTCGATAATTCAGAAACAGGTTGCTTGGATAATTGAGTTCAGCAGAAGGCAGAATTTTGTGAAATTTGTTATTGTCCTGTACTTTAATGGAAATTCTCAATGTTAACTTGCGATAAGTCTTTAATCGAAACCTTACGAACCTCATTATTTGAATGTACGGAGCCATAATTTGTAGCATGGGATACAAATCACGACATTCTTTAAAAAGAGCCACGGCCACGGCATCTCCGCCAGTAGAAAAATGAATGATTGGGTCACGCGGTTAACATTACTATGATAACGATACTACACACGTCTTCTCTCTCCGCGGCCGATACTAAGCATATTAGGGAGAAAATGTCTTATCCATTTTAGTTTAAGTAAAAGTCTTCCTTGGGCATCGTGGCCGAGCAGCTCGTTACATCTCCCTTTTCAAAAAATGGAAAACTCTCTCGTATTCGTTCACAGTTGGCAAAATTCTATCACCGACACATATACATCGACAGTTTTTCAGATAAAGTCCCTTCCTCAATATCACGACCACTCTGGCGTTATGTTTAATTTTGTAAAGCAATATCAGATCGATAAAACAATATATCGACTCGCGCTGATGGTATACAGTACATTCTCACGTAACGGGGGTCTTCGCCGTTCCTTTCCAAGCCACCGTAAATTCTTGATCAGATGCCAACTATCTTCGACACTTACTCATGGGCCGATAGTATTTAATATGGATGATGCTTTTGTCAGGTGACTATTGATTCCCCTGGTGTTTTGCAAATACTCCGCGTGTAAATACACATCCTTCGACGAGGGATATGCCCCTGCCGAGGGTGGTTTAGAGAATTCTCCCCAGGATCCAAGATTGCTCATAACAAAGTCTGAGAGCTACCTGTTAGTTTCCACAACTTCAGGCGGACGGAATTGGGATTCTCCATGAGGTTCATTTAAGCTGGATACAAATTCACGTATAGACTCATCGGTTTCCATTCAATAATAACCTCTGCTTCGATGGTCGGGATGGAAAAGACTGTATAACTGTCTGAAGGCACGAATGTAGTCGATGAACGAACGTTTCTGATGAAGAGACATGTTCGATTGCTCATTACTGTCATTTTGTTGAGACGGAAGCTCACATTTGTTCAGCATCATCAAAAGCAACGCCTCTGCAACCATCACCATTATTAACAGAATGCTTATATTTAAAAATATGGCTATTACTATCTTAATCTTCTGTTCATTTGACCGCAACCAACCATCTTGTTTGCTCCGGGTCTTACCATTCAGTTTAATGGTTATCCGGATTGACTGTACGTTTTACTTAAGACAAAGTTTCACAAATGCTAACCCAACCCAACGCTAATAAATGTATGCCGCATATGTTGTAATTGAAATTTTCTTCTACAAAGTCCTTGATCACATCCTCGTCGCAATCCCCGGAAGCTCAATGACTAAGTCTCACTGTTGCAACATACCCAATCATCTTGATGTTACACTCTATGCGCAGAAAGTAATGAATTATTTTACAAAGCCATTAGTTCAAGGCAAGGCGGGCTTGCATTTGTCCTCATTCAATGCTTTCAAATCCGCACCGCATATTCTCAGACAATTTCCATTACCGATTGTTCCGCCGGAGACTTTTTTGCTTACTAAGATGCATGTAGTCTAAAAAGTACTGTGACAATCCATTGTACAAGCGTACTGATTGAAGCAAAGGATAGCCGAATGATTGTAGGTACATGCAACCTAGTTGCGTCTATTTAGCGGGGTATTGTAAAATATGATGTCATGGACGGCTTATTACCATGTGTTGGGGTCGTACCTATGCCACTTTCTTATAAATTTAGTAGTAAAATATTTGTTATCGTCTAATTAGTCAGATTATATAATCACTGACTCCCTGCATCACATCACTCTCACTCTCACTCTCTGTGCTCTAATTTCTTTTTAAAGCAATTTCATTGATTGATTGGTTGGCCTATTGTAATATACTTGCTTGACTGTATCGAACCTAGTCGAGATTAGTAATCTACAAAACCCATAGTAAGCAAGGGAAGATAGATTCCGGGGATTTTATGCCACTCTTAGTGATCCGTTACACAATTACTATTTACATGGGTATATTCAGCCACATGCGTAAATATTCATGCGAGGGTGCGCCGCAGGCATTTATAGTATATTGCCACTCCTAATAGGGCAAATAAACGAATTCCAGATGATCTGATAAAGATATCTTTCGGCTGTTCACTTATAGACTTATTGACCGTATAATGGAACGCCCGATACATTCTTTCGCACAATATTTGCTTATACAGTTTGCCCATTTCGTATGAATCGAGTGATTGTATAAGCCTTTACGATGGCGCATGAATATGAACAAATGCAACATGGCGGCGTTTTTGCGTTATTTCAAAGCACACAAAATGGAAATCATTGCGCTAACACAATACGCGTAAGCGGGATATATATACATATCAGCCTCAGATGACAATGAAGGGCAGGATATGTATAGTCAACAAGACAGTAAATAAAGCAGAGATGGGTTTAACCAAATTAATACGTGACGAGGCGTAATATTTGATCTTGATCTACCGGAAATGATGGGCTCTTTATCGGGATAATAAGAAACGATGGAAATTTCTATCGGCATGAACTGATCGGAGTGGCGGGAATGATACAATAAAGTAAAGAAATCAAAGCATATAATCTAAATCGTATAGTATTATTCATTGTGCGCTATGTTGCGGGTAAACGGCTTTTGTTGTATTGGATTGACTATTTCATTTTGTCTCGTAAATGTACTACTCTTTTTTAATGGCCCGTCCACAAAATAAGGTTGTTCGGAGAAGTCCCCGGTTGTTATAGAGTGTGTTGTTAATATCAGGCAATATGTCTATTTTTGATCATCATATAAAACCATTAATCGTTAGCAATATCCCAAAGCTAAAATAGTTAGACGAATAGTATTGGGTAACAAAGAATACCTTGACAATACACGATCATTTATGTATTTGGCGATCGTGTATTGTATAACAATTTACGGATTGTCAACTGCTCGTTGGATGTCATCGAATCCAAGAGTCTCTTGTATTCTTTACGTAGCCGATAATGTAAACTTTAGCATTCAGCCTGCATCGGTCGCACTCTAACAATATCAGCACCAATGTCATCACATGCACTATAAATATTGCATAATAAGAAAAGGGACTGTGTATTTACGTATATAGGGAATAACTATAATACTGTTTATGTTATTGGTTCTCAAAGTTATAGTTTTATTCTTATATATCAATCGCGCTTAATAGATAAGTGACGTCGATACAATTGAGTGCTTAATTTAATTATTGTTGGCAAATCAGGAATAACGATGATTCTATTTCTTCTCCAACTTTGTATAAATATGGTCATATGCAAGGCTTCTGTGTCAATCGACCGTTTCAAACGTGGTACATCGACCATTGATAGACAAAAATTTATTCCGAGGTGTGTGACACTAATAAAAAAAAGGGCCTACATATAACTTTACGACATGCAAAAAAGAAAACAGATACATACACAATATACATACTACACATATACAATACTACACATATATACAATACTACACATACACACACACACACATACACAACACCTTCGAATATTAACGTTTGAAATCAAAAGACTGGCACAACCAACGTTGTTGCCAAAAAAGGCATGAGAACGCAGCATGGCAAACTGCAGACGAGAATAATATACAATGTACTCATCCAAAATTATATACATCGTACTCGTCCAATGCAACTAATAAAGAACTGCGAATCAAATAATTATAATATCATAAATCATTGTTATCTACATACTTACAGGACATTGACGGTTGCTTGCGTCTACTTAGTGACTATTATTATTGGTCTTATGGTGTAAACACAAATGTTCAATATACTGACACTTGACAGTGAAAACAAGAGCAACACTATGGCTGCTAAAGGTAATGTATGTGCACGACAAATTATTATGGGTAAATCGATCTTCTCTGCGAGAACATCTTCTCCCCAAGTAGTGATGCAAAATCTAAATTGGTGTAACTTTATATTGCACGAATCTCGTCACATGTTCCCCTACGATAAAAAATAATTGGAACAAGCTTATGTAATAAATTGCATTGATAATCATGGGGGTGGAGGGAGATCTTTCATAATCACGAAAGCGATCAGCAAACAGAAAAAAGAAAGAAAAAAAGAAAGGAGAGAGGACAAAGGTGAGAGGAAAAAAAAAAAAAAAAAAGCTCACGAGAACGTTTGACTCTCGGAACTTAATCTTATTGGGGAAAGCTTGTTGCCATTAGCTGTTTACAAATCAAGGGACTGAATATAACGTTTCACCCTTATTATCGATAAGCGCGCTCTGGCATGCAACACCATTTGCACGCATTAACTAAATAACAAATAGAGCATGTATTTTTAATAGTAGTATTAATTTAGAGTTTTGCAAATATAATAGTCATTGTTAACTTTAGAGTTATTGTAGCTCCTCGTACAACTTGCTTTTGACAGTCTAGAATTAATAAGTAAATTAATGAAACGCGCTAGCGTAATGACATTTATTATTAAGAATATCATTGAAGGTCTGATACATGTCTCGTCTGATCGTGATTTGCCCAGATTAAGCATCCAACATAGTCTATCATTAAACGCACGGCATTTAATTTTCACAGCACCGTTATATCATCCATACATTCACACGCCAGTTTTACATACTCACTCTACATATCATCCCTCCCACACACACACACACTGTTCCACATACAGCTTTTCCGTGCATATATGCAGTATTATATTCTCACGCTACAATGTGTGTAATCAGAATCCGTTGATTGACAGACAATATTAAAAGAATTTCCAACTAGGCAACTGTGGAATATGTGGGGGGAGGCCTCTATGGAAATACATGCGAAACATATATACGTCACGTTAGTGTCAATGTATGGACTGCAGAATCAATAGCGTGAGATTACATAATGTGCCCATATATGTAAACACACCAGTAAACTATGCTGTTGTCATTTTAGCATGTAGTCATGGAGTTAGTTTTCCTGAACCTTCCCGGTTTGTTAATACAATTATTGCTGTATACCATTTTTATGTAAGTATGATTTTATCGTATATTATTAAGAATAATGCATCGCAATTATGTTGTAGCCAATTTCCCTGACGATTGTTGATTGTATTCCTTTATCCAACCCTGCTCGTCGAACGCCGCATTTTACCCCAAAGTAACCATGATTTCATAATATACACTAGAACGATCTTGGTAATCCACTTGCAAGCAAATTTAAAAACACTGGACAGGAACACTGCGTATTATACTTTTAACCGTAGGGTTTTACTTACCACCACCACCCGCCGGTTGAACCTCTTGGCGAAGTAATGTTGCCTGACAACCAATTAAACCCAATCACTCCAAATCAGTAAGGTCCGGCATGTTGTGAGATGGCGATCATACCATGTATAACAAAACCGATATCTTGGTTCGCCCGTAAGTATTCTATTGACATGTACTATATTTGTTGAGACACCTCCGTGAGATATGATAAAATGGAAACGGTTGCAACCAGTTATGGAATAATTACAACAATGATAACTAAAATACTGTATCTATGCCATATATTGCATGCTGGATTACTTGATACGAATTATTTCCAATAGATTGTTATGTCATTAATGAATATATTTATATATTTATATATAGATATATAGACACACACGGAATTTCCAAATAATAACAATAGTAATAATTAAAAATAAAAACTTGTCGTTGTCACGTAATCAGAAATCATGCAAGACAAGATACGCATGCAACAAATAGCTTTATGACTGTTCCACGCGCTTCTTGAGACGGAAGTAAAACCGCTCTGTCACATTGTGGGGGGTGGTTATTGTTGTGTTGGACTTTTTTCTTGCTACAACCTCTAGTCAAACCAAACCGATATGCTTCCTGGGAGATCTACGTAACCGCAAACTTTGCCACGCGCTTCTTGGATGTTTTATCAAACAGAGCCCATCACTATTTTGAATAGTAACACAAATTTCCATATAAAGTTGGATTCTTAATGCAAATTAATATTACTAAACATGCATAGTCATCGTTATCTCCGTTAAGGTTACTCAAAATCCGGATATGTATATTATCTATATTATATATTTTACTCTTGTCCGCCTTGCATAATCTCCAATTGATCTTACGTAAACTATACCGTTTTTTCATATCAGTGTAACAAACGAAAAGTCAATTGGATGGGTCTATAGAGTAGGATGTGCACTAAATAGCATATCCGCTCGGTCGGATAAAGATTACAGCTAAACGGAATAAAGTATATCGGAGAAAGGGTCGAGCATATACACCGAACTTGGTGGCACGGCACTCTTGATGAGATATAATTGATCACGATGATTTAATCACCATCAAAAGCAGTTAAAGATTGTTTGGTAGTGGTTTCGAAAGAACAAAGACATGAGGGTAAACAACAACAAACAATAACACAATAACATCATGAATATTATTTATGTAAACAAGCAAACAAGTTACTAATTTCTGTTAGTAATTATTTATGTATGTCGATCATCTGGATAAAGCAAAAAAAAGTCCAAGTATGCGTGCGAACGGTCCAGATGAACTAGTTTTCGAATAGTAATGGAGTAATGTATACGCCTGTTACATGTGATCGAGATGGATTTTGATTGGTCCGCTTTGGGCAAATCTATATTCCGATTTAACCAAATAAAGAGAGAACAGGGCTCAGCCGATCTCAAAAAATCATCTTCTGTGTAGAAAGCTCTTCGCTTATAACGACGTCAGTGGTAGACAAGTGTGGTGAGATCAAAAGAGCATTAATCATTTTGTCCCTCCGTGATGGATAAACCTTCTTCAAACTCTAAGCTCCTGAAAAAAAAAAAAAAAACCAGCCGTTATCGATGTCCATTAATAAAGATAAGCAGCAACCAATTGTATATATCGACCATCGTCTCCCAAATGATTGGTTCAAACCTTATGCCTGTATTAGGGTTGTACTCTATATATTAGAGATATACCCGTTAAAATAGCATATTAGGCTTCAAGTCATTGACGTAATTACCTTTTTTATGTTCACCTATTCTCTTGCATTGATTATGCAATAGTAGGGGACATTGACAATAGAATATAGACCAACGTTTTGGCTCAAAATAATGCATTCGACTCTTGATTATATAGTATTTTATATACGGAAGTTATTTATGTATTGCAAAAAACCTAAATCGGTACAATCATCTTCAATCAAAATCTCAACTCATCTGTTACCATGAGAAACAATCTTGATAAGTCTTATCGAAGTAGAAAAGTCCTCTTTATCTATTCGTTCATCTATTTATTCCATTCCTGTTGTTTGGCTAACCCGGTAATTGTCAATCGTCGTACTTGAGAGAGAGAACAACTAGTGTCAATATCTTGTACGACATATTTCGCTAAAAAGAGAACGGGGAGAAGGGCTTTGAAAACCGCTGAATTTATTAAGAAATCATAATAATCAAACGAACGGGTGACATTCATGTAAGCAGGACACATGATGATTGCGGTTATAAAAATAGGATAGATGATGTATTCTATAGAGACATGAGACCAAACGGTAACAGTAAACATCGCTCTTTCATTACTAATGATAAACATACGATGGAGATAAGATAACATTAATCTGTATCATTGGTTGGATTTGTATATTCGCATATTTGGAATGTTGTTTCCCACCATATAATATCGTTTTGATATTCGCAATGTTGACGGTGTTGTGACTTTATGCATAAATTAATATAATTGACATAAACAACGATTTGATATTGGGCAAATGACTATTACCACATCAACCAAATTGGACAACCACATGGTAACGTGTCCAGGCCAAGATCAAATACCAAGATGTAATTTTACTTTTCTTTTTTTCTTTTTCCTTTTTTTTTTTTTTTTTTGAAGGGGAAATAGTTCACACACATTCAACATAAATTTGGCATGCGTAAGCTGGCAACGTGGCAATCAGTTATGCTGGCTATCAAAAAATGGATTGTTTCCACGTGGCGTAGGAGGTTATTGTTCCTGGTGTTCATCCTGCGTATGCATTCGTCATCAGTGAAAAAGTCGATAAGTATAACAAGAATCATATGAGTTTGTTCACGAGCATAAAGAAACAAGTTGACAAATACGTAAATCAAGGACAATAAATAACATAGGAAAGATAAAAAACCCTTTCGTAATAATAACAATAATAATGTAATAATAATAAACAATAAATAAATAATACATTGATACGGTTTTGTACACATGCAAATTTACCAGTGCGTTTTCTATGCTTGCTCTTCAACAGACATAAGGTTAACTCAAGATATTCAAGAGCATTGTGGCTGTATTTACAATATCGTATTCATCATTTAGGCATTTAATATACGCTTTTCGGGCTAACTAAAACCAATTGCAGTTCATTATTACTCATAAATTAACCGTTACTCTTATCCTACATTAGACTCCTTAAGCTTCACACACATTATACCCCTACCCTCTTCCCCTCCCCTCCCCCAAATCTCCCCTAGTCGAACATCTCATATTTTTGCGCTAATGCAGTACATATATTTAATTAAAGCATTGTATTTGCAAAGAGCTTCATGGTCAATGTAGTAATAATAAGCGCGCGATTTCTTTAAGGTTGACTATTCTTAGTAAACCCGAAGCAGCAGCAAGATTTGACTAAAACCCGTTGATTCAAAACTACATCATCTGATCATATTCTAAAATTATACTATTGTGATCGACATAAATTATACAGTATAAAAAAAATTATATATAAATACGCTGCATCCCTGTCAGCTACCGATACGAAAAAGTTAGTTTCCAGGATCATTCGATGCCATACCCATTTACTGTGCAGTTGAATCAGATTCTCCAAAAACAATCACAATTCCCTTTGTCTCCTCCACATTCCGTACCCCAATCTCCGTGCATCATGGCTACGACGTTAGGAAATCCAAATCGTTCTTGCGTTTCTTGCAAAAAGAGAAAAGTAAAATGCGACCGAAAGGTTCCCGCATGTACATCGTGTGCAAAGTCGAAATTACGATGCTGCTATACATCGTATTCTCCACCGGCTTTTGCTGAACCATCTATGCCTGTATCGGATGAAGACGAGGGAGTCAGAATGTTGAGAGAGCGAATTGATCAAGTTGAGGCTCTCGGAAGAGAAAGGTTCGAGAGACTATACAAAATACTTATGGAAATTAAGGACTCTAATAAACCTATGCAAGCAACAAAAGTAAGTAGAATACAACTATACAACTGATTCATGTATCATGTTTAGATATTGAACACATGGAACATGATTTGGTATTTAGTATGTAGACCCAACCTTTTTATTCAACACACCACACACACACATACGTACACATGTTCCTCTCTTTCTCTTTTCACCTTTAAAGATTTAACTGTTATTTGATAAACTATATTCAATATTATTTCCAATGTTATTTGTTATTTGTTCATAGATAGAAGACATACAATCAGACCCGTTTTGCTCATCGACTGTGGATTTCACTCGATTACAGGACGAAAGAGACTATGACCCCGCTGTACTCAACTCCGGTCAACAACCTGCGGAGCAGTACTATCCTTACATCATTAATGACGACTACTTGCTGCGCCTAGACGTTGCCAATCCAATAACGACACAACAATCTCAAGTACAAACGCCACCCCATATTCGACCAAGAATGCGATCGTCGGCCGTTGTCCATCCGACCAATTCGCACTTTGCGCCATATCCAACTCCATACGCCAGACGGCCACAGCAACATCCGAATCCGATACAACAACAACAGCAGCAACAACAACAACAACAACCAATAGAGCAGCCTGTTGTCATTTCCGCCTATCCTTCTAAGCAAGGTTTGCATTTATGTTAGTTAAAAAAATAAAAAAATAAAACTTGGAAGAAATTGTCAGAGATTGTCTCAACATCAAGAAAACGAAGGTAATAATTTTTTTCATTTTTTTTCCTTGTTTGTATCAGAATCCAATTATATTCCATACAAACGAGCCATCGTGACCTTCAATTATAACATCAACGGTCTGCGCAGACTAATGGGACCAATCATTGCTCCGCTTCTCAACGCAATGACAGCAGGTTCTTCGCACCCATTCCCACCCGCCGGATTCACCGATGTCTCCCTCTTACTATTCTGGATACGACACTTTTTCGTTTCCTCTTTCGACCAGAAACAAGATCCATCACTCAGCGGAATACTCGATCCAACCAACGAGCTCGTAGAAATAATTCCATTCAATGACGAAGTAAATGAACTATTACTGCAGCAGCGATACGAAATCATTTTTAAAAGGCTCTACCATCCGTCTCCGACACTTTCTTCCATCTCGTCGTTATCCTCGGCCAGCACATACATGTCCGTCAGAGGACCTTCTATCGGTAAAGACGATCTCACCGAGTTTAATTTCGAGGATGATGTCCTCGATGATAACGTCAGTTTCTATAGCGGCAGCAGCTCGGCAAGCGATGCCAGCGTGAGTGCCGGGGCAAACGGTTCGGATGAAGTGATGCTGGAGAAGGTGTACTCTTTGATAAAAAGATTCACAAGAAGGATGCCCTGGACGAGAGAAGGTTTTTCCTTTTTTGAAGCTGTCGGCGATGGAGTATTTAACGACGTGGTGGTAGAAATTAGAAGAGATGATGATGGAATATCTTCGCTGTTGGATCTAGATACGCTGGATGTTCAGCAACCCCTTTTATCTTCTGCTGAAGCAGAGAATAATCTTGTACGCGGAAGGTTGTACCTGTGAGAAAAAGAGGAGGGGAAAAAAGCTAGCATATGGGATAGCAAGGATGGAGAAATTAGTGCAAAGACGACGAGTGGCTGACAATATTTTTCAAGTTTTATTTTTTTTTATCGTTCGCATATTGGACTATTTCGACCAAGGAAAAATATCGATTTATTTTATTTCTTTTTTTCTTAATTTGTTGGTATTTTCGTAATAAGTTTAATTTTTACACTTTAGTATATAGATGATAGCCGTTTTATTCTATCCCTACTCTGTATTGCTCTCCCTTTTCTATTCCATAATTACTTTCGATCACCTCACTCCCCATATAATATTGTAAATATAATTTATGTCAACATAGAGAAGAAAAAAAACATGCCGGGCATGATAAAGTCAATATATAAATGAAAGCTATGCTCAAAAACAAAACAAAAAAATTCGTAAATCGCATTCACCATCGTTGACGGTAAATTTACCGAGTAAGATCAGTGCGCAAATGAGAATGCGGGGAACGAGGCATAAGATTTCATATGTATACACATCACGATGAACCTAGACGGGATAGAAAGGTATAGAGCAAGTAGCATCGTTAAAATCTGCGTGACTGTTTATTTAGTTTATTATTTTAGTAGCGCCATATATAATACGATCCGTCGCCGAATTTTCATGTACTTATTTTTTAGACGAAACTTATTTTTTTACTTGTAGACAGAATACGATTATTTGTTGTTAAAATTATTATTAAGCTTTTATTAAAAGGAGAAGATTATATGGACAATAATGGCAAGCAAAATGTTGGAACAATAAATAAAAATGTATCTCAATATTATTTACTATGTGCGGTGTCTTTTTTTTTTCCTCTTTGATGATGCCAAGGCGGCGGGGGCGGCGGGGATCATCCGTTGGCGGCGGACTATAATGATAATGACCAGAACCTTATTCGGATTTCTAATCTGTATTGGTTGTCACGATACAATATTTTTCTGTCAATTAAATGTTTCGACTTGTCATTTTTTCCGCCCCTTGTGTTTCATTTTAGGTTTACAAATTCAGCGGAAATCCAAGACTTGTTAGTAAAATGCGCGTCATTGAAGACGTAATTGTGATTGGGTGGGCGAGACGCACTGATTTCATTCATTATAATACCGACAATGACAGACGATCGTGCAACACTGAAAAACAAAGCTTGTCAGTTAAAACTAAAAAACTCCGATAATAATAAGGACTAAATAGGATATACGGCAAACAATGAGTCTTGGCATTCGATCCTTTTTTATCTTTCGGCTTGGTTTTCCCTCATCGTATCCAATGGTTGTTATTTCGGGCCGTAGCCAAGATTAGTCATAAAGAAATAAGTTTCTTTTATTCGGTTGTCTTCTTATATCTTCTTTTTCGGCGTGGCCTCCCGAAACACGGAGTTTTTCGGCAAGTTTATTCACGTCAAGTGGGACTTTTGTTATAAATAGTTTGTGCTTTATTCGGGCTTGTCTAGGAAGTAAACCAATACTAGTTTAAAGGAAAAATATAAGCCGCCTCTCGAAATATCTATTGGCCCATTTTTGTAACTGGCGGTTTTTTTCCTTTAGCTGTTTAGAAGTGAATTAGAAATTGTTTGGTATCCAAGTTTTTGAAATAAAACCGATACTGGATCCGCGTCAAGTGCGGTCTCAATTTATGAAAACGCTTAAAAATTACTGAGAATAATAAATTTGGCCGCGAATAGTTTTTATTCGACTTTATAAAACGCGAAATAGTCTATCGATACGTTTTCGCATGGTATGCGTGTAGCTAAATTCTATCACTCTTAGTGTACAAAGTCATAAGTCATAATTGAACAGTAATTATAATATCACAAGTTTCTATATAGACGTTACGTTCTCATTTTAAGTCAAGCATACTTGTATAAGCGTAATGTATATAATTGTATATTGATCTTGCCTTTATTTTTTATTATCTACTTGGATATTCGCATTCCAACAATCGCATGTATAGTAACTTTATGAAAAGAATAAAATTGGCGGTATACCGATTAAAGTATAAAGAAAACTTGAGTAGTGAGTGTCTCGGATACCGAGAGGATACGGCAACGTGCAGTAAAGTTAGTAAAGTGAGCGGATATATTGTCGAAATTTCGAGCCAGGCATGAAAATTAGTTTATCTTATCATAGTAACTTACCTACACTTGGCATGCTATCAAAAATTCAAATTCAAGACCTATTCAATATGCTCTTCTCTATTACGCAGTAATCAGTTCTCGGATGATACATTGGTTTCAATTTGGGGAAAACAAAAGAAGCGAGTATGTATGGCGTGATTAAGTTTCAGTAGTACGAGTTCTATCATATGACTAAATTTTCCGATTGTATGGCTAAATTGTCCGATCGCCTGATTAGCTTTCCGTAATTATTAGAAATACTATTTGCTATAGTTATTTAACAGTGAAGCGTCTTTAATATTCGGACTGGTTGTATATCACGTTTGCCGCAGTAAGAATAACAATAAATAGATCGTTTTGTTTGTGACATTATTATTATGCACACATCGGATGATCATTATCACATCACCTGATCCCATCAATAACCAGATGATTTATTATTATTATTATCTCACAGCTTGGCTTGCAAATCACGCCGATCAGAGATCCCGTTGTATATTTAAGCTTCTGACTCTATTACAATTAATAAGCTTCAATATAAATATATAATTTAATATAGGTAACAAGAGAAAGTGTTTCAGTAAATTAAGGGAAGGTACCCACAGCGTTTTCCCCAATACAGATAAAACCCCCGTTTTTGTCATTATAGTTTAGTTCCCTTTGAATGCATTGTTTGCCTGTTAAGTACGTTACCGGTGTGTCAGATAATAAATTATTCATGTACGAAAATCACATTGCATACCTACCATATATGACAGATTTCGTTATCTTCATATGTTTGTTCTTAATTACGAGTTATCGAGAACCAAGTTATTGTTATCTATATTAATATCCATATCTATTATTTGTTTATATATACTTTCTGAAACATTAACATCCTGAACAGTATTAACTGCATTATAGGCTGAATGGAACGTTCGGAATAGATACACAACGAACAAAGACGTTCTAGTTCGGTACTTGTGTATTAATAAAATTGGCTGTTTGTTGCCACGTGTAGATTTGCAGTCAACGATAATGAGATTCCTCGTATTAGTTCGTGCGATAATGTTCTGTTAACCAAAATAATGCAATTATATATGTCTCTTTTGACCAAATGCATTGAATGTTCCCACATAGTTGAAATAAAATATATTTTCAATATACATCACTTACCTCTTTACGTCTTGAAATCCCGATTGAAGCTAAAATTGCCGACCTTTACCGTCAAATTATATATATTGCTCTACAAATTCTTTTTACGCTGATGTTCTGCCCTCATTAATCTTTATTTTAAAAATATCTGAAACTTGTCCATATCTTTCTGCCAGAGCCTTCTGTTAAATTCTGTATTAAAGGGACGTTATTATGACCAGTGTCCTTTTTTTCTATTTAAATAATAGAGAAGGCAAATCAGGACTTCTATATATCAAACGATAATAAATTTAAGCTACGTTCACCGAAGAAAAACAATGAATTGCATTGTAATGGTTTAATGGTATATTTAATTAGTAAACATTTACTTCCAAGAAAAAACACATATAAAAATCATCTGACGTCACAAGACGCGTTTTTTCGATCTAGTTTTAGCTTGCTCTGAATTTTGAATTAATCATCCAACGTTAAAGGCAGGCATTTTTCTATCCTATGTAGTACTATTGAAGCTTGGATACATACACGTTTGTACGGGCTTTGAATTAAAGCCCAGGGTTGAGACACGCTCCAAGTCGTGTCGCAGCAACATTTTGTATGCAATGATGAATTGGTACTATTAAGACTTTATAGTAATCTTCTACAATCGAGTTCACCTATTCCAAAAGTTTACGTGTATTCTTGAATTAACAAACCCCAAGCCGGCGCAAGTACAAAGCAATGCAGAGAAGCAAAGCGAAAAATTTATCAAACCGACATATTATTATAAGCAGGTGAATGCTAACTCCTGTGGTGTATGTGATTATGGTTATCATTGAATTGCTACCTTGCGAAATGCAAGCGATCAAATGCTCAAGTTTCAAAAAAAGGCTCAATAAGACAATGTTTTCAGACCCATTACATTCTCAGATTTTAATTATTCAGGTACTTCATTCAAATAAAAAACTGTGATGATAAAGAGGTGTTCATTGTCAATTTTCAGTCTGTTCATAGATTCAAGAATTTCTCAGTGTTGGGCCTGCTGGAGTTGGCGATATCTCAAAAATCAAATACGCGGACTTTGGTTCATGAGGATCTTATAAATGACAGATCCTGACTTGAGCAGTTGAAGCTTCACAGAAATAGAGCCTGTTATGGTAACGCATTATTTAATATTTAACTTTGTTATATCAGACGAGGTATTAACCATGGATCTGATTGGGACTCTTGAGAAGCCTTAAAGCTTCCATTACTTGGGAAGAAGAACACAACTACTACGTCTTCTGCCCTTGTTCTGGGATTTGGGAATAATTTATTAATAACCGTTTCCGGTTGGCTCATCTTCATTCTGCTTGCATGGACTAGTATCGCCGCAATGGCAAAGAGGCTGTTGCAACTGAAAGTATTTGCCGGCATGAAAACGGTGAAAGACCGACACGGATGATGCACCTACATATCTCAAGCAATTCGCGGGTCTGACGACACCAGTGAAAAGCTGGGATTGGAAAAGGGGCAGAAGCCATAAAGAGACTTTTCGTCTTCAGTTGACGCGTAGCCCAGCTAATTTCAAGGATTTCGCTCTGGCCCTACTCATGAGGCGTCCCTGATATCAGGTGTTCCCAGTTCGGTCGTCATTGGCAATTTGTAATAGTCAAAGTACAGCACTAAGTTAACTGTTACAATGATTTCATAACTCGAATGCTTGTCATTGCTCATCGTTAAACGCTTAAAAGCCTGTCGCAGAGTAAATCTACATCTCAATGTTATCTACTACGTGAGCAATGCTCACTGAATTTACAACTCTGGCTGACAAAGCGATGACAGTAACCACACTACATGAATCAAATTCCCACGACTTATTAAGCCCTTTATTGACAAATGGCAGAACATAAATTCTAATTGTTCTAGTTTTAAATGTTTGTTTCAGTCGTCCACGTCGTCAGGAAAGATGTATGCGTGAGGTATTTCGTCCGAGACTCTGATAAACCCACGGAACATTCCAGATGTATTATATTGTATTGTAACTAAAAACAATTAACAAGTATTAACGTATATTCTCTAATATGTTTCGGCAAAAGACCGTTATCACTTACAATTTCCATATTTATCTAATGCAACCACGCCTGCTTCTGTACCAACTTTGCTTAAAAGATCAATCATTGCTGAGGTCGCTTGCTCAACTGTTTCATTAAGATGCTCCATGCGTGACGCTATTCCCCTTGCTAGTGTATAACGAATGAGAAACTAAACGGGGTGTTGTAGAATCAGTACAGTCAACAATGATCGGAATATGCTCACCGTTTCATAATACATTTAATATAGTTACCTCTCCCTCGCCGGTCCCGCTTACGCCACACGTTTCATTATCAGCCCAAGTACCACAACCTATCAATGGTGAGTCTCCTATGCGACCATCACTCTTGTTGTTTTTACCGCCTTTAATTATCGAAATAAAGAGAGAACTATTAGCCAACTACATAACGACAATCGCAAAAACAGATATCGAACCCATGCTAACCAGTTGAAGTGGCAGCAGCAATAACTCCATCGAAATCTACAGCAACTGCACCGACCGTGCCCATGGAATTCATGTAGAACCAGTCTCCATTGCTGCCTACTAGCTCACGTTTTGTATTATTTTCCGTTCTTCTTTCGTTAACCGCATCATCATAACTTGGCAAGCTATTATCAGCATTGTCGCTTTCGCTCTTGTCTCCACAACAACCATCACGTTTTTTCCCTTCATCTTTCCCTTCATTACCCAATCCTTCGAGATGCTCCTTCCATCTGGCTTCAGTCCAAAAATAGCTTGGATCAACCAGCTCCAAGCCTTTTTCCTTTGCATACTCCTCTGCCCCCTCTCCGCCCAAGAACACTTGATAATTATCCGGATCAAGCATGAGGGTCTTGGCCAGAACCACGGGATTTTTGACTGTGCGGAGCAGCGTGACGGCACCTGCAGGATGAGAGGGTGTACCAATCATAATAGAAGACTCGAGTTCATTCTTTTTTCGTGTGAAGAGAAAAAGGGACATTGATCAGCAGTTAGCATGAATATTTGCGCAAGATAGATACACGATCTCACGGTTGAATCTAACGAAATTATTGTTTATGGCAATCGATTTCTTTTGTCAATAGCATACACTATTTAATTTCTTTACCTTGCCACTACGTGTAAACACGGCTCCCTTTCCAGCATTATACAGCGGACAGTCTATCCACGATCAATGGTAAATCAATGACTTACTCTCAGTTAAGCGACATAATTTTTTTTGTAATCCAATTATATCTCCATTTTTCTTAAACTACCTTCCATAACCCTAATAGCAGCCTCGACTGCATCAACGGCCCTTCCGCCTCTTTTCAGAATATCACATCCAACCTTTAATGCCTCCTTCATTGCCTGCAAATATTCCTTCTTTTGGTCATCGGGAATTTCCTCGCATGGAATTCTCTTTTTTACAATTTTGCCTGCTCCACCATGAATTAGTAGTGTTGGACCATGGTTTACTGGCTGACATTGATTAAAAGAAGTGAGTGGTCGTGATTAATCATAATGACAGCTGTGAAATGATGGTTTACCTTTCTAGCTGCTTGTTTGGAGTGAGGAAGAACGTGTGAGAAGCAGCTAGTCTTCGTCATTTGTATAAAAAGACTGAATTGGGAGATCCCTTCTTTATGCAGGGCATGCACTATTTACGGGGTGCCATGTGTAATTTTTCCGATCTTGTACTATCATCGGCCAGAAATAGAAAGTGAAAGCTTCGTATTATCGTGCCAAGGATTCCCTCTTGCCATCACCTTGTGATTAAAAGCACTATCATATAATTCGCTAGTTTTGGCTATTTGCCAATCGTTGTCTGGACGAAAGTTCCAGCATGCACTCCTTTAGGAAGTGCGAATATTCATAATTCGCGTGCATGTTATTGTATATTTGATAAGACTAAAAATGATTATTTCTTTTGTTATTGCTCTAACATAATACGTAATTTGACAGTCGCTGAACTCTAAAAAAATGCTATAGCCTGGAACAAAGCAAACATTCTCTACGCAATAATAATATCTTATCGATGGCAGTAACAGTCGATATTAATATCACTACAGCACAGTTTAGACTATCTATATCTGCGATCACAAATGATGTTTATTTATTGGCGTTGGGGTAAAGTAAAGGATTTTCTAATAAAATCTCTTGACGCAGGTTTATGGTATTTAGTCTGTGTGCATAAACAAGCTGCTAAAATTGCATGATTGCAGTGATAAATCCGCTTGAAAACTTTGTCCCAAAAATATTATCAATATGGCGCGCCATATGGCCGATTGCAGGAGTGGCAGGTGCGGGGAGGAAGTTTGATTTCCGAACGATGCACGCATTAATTGTCGTGTTGCATGTCTGCAGCTGTAAATAATTATATACTTATTGAGAGCTAAGACATAAATGGCAATTTTAAAAAAGTGTATATTTTCACAAATAATAATAATTTGTGCCCGACTTTGGAGTCTAATTAGCAATTAAACTTTATGCATTTTGGTTTCTTATAGTCTGCTTTTAGTTTAAGTGTATAACATAATAATAAATTTCCCCATTTAAAATTAATTGTCGGCCGGTCTGGATTGTGTTGGAATTATCATACATCCTAAATACACAGCAAGTCTGGTTTAACAAAGATGCTTTATAAAAAAGGTTGTTTTTGTTTTGAAACTGTTTCATTCATGTACTATAGAAATAGAGTCTATTTCACCGTGTAACTAAAATCGTCTGTATCAAACCGTAACAGCAAGACTGACAACAACAACCATTTATGCTCTATCAGTCTTCTCTTCTCGATAAGCGGTATTAGAATACAGCTTCAGTACGTTATTAACTTTAATTCCAGTCATAATCATACGAGCACACACAATTAAAAATTTGTATTTTGTGTTGGTAACTTGTTTGTACAATTTTTGTTTCCAACAATGTATCGATTTTTAAATTAACATGACACTGACATAAATTTGTAATACTGTATTACTAAAAGCCTTAATATTAAATTGTTTATTATTTTCAGTGAATACGAACTTTAAAAATTGGCACCACATCCGAGCGGTTTTATGTACAATGCAGGAGGGCGTAGATTATAATAATTACAGAATTATTTCAGAAACAATTAGAGTAACAATGATATGGTCATATCTAAACGAGATATTTTTAATACATTATTGAAAAACAAGAGCAAGGAACTAGCTGTCTAGTGTCAACGAGAAATGGAGAGAGTATTCAAAGGTTGTCTTTAATCAATTATTCTGGATAATTAACACCAATTGGCGATAACATCTAAATGCAGTTAGTTGTTATTATATATACGCAAAAAATTTTGACAAGACACCTGCGTATTTTGTCTTAATTAAGACAAAAGGACAAGAAAAAGATTGGCTGTAAATGAAGTTTGTACAAGAAGAGATTATCAAATTCCTTACACTGTGCCTATGTTACGATTAACTATTTTTATTAGAGTGGAAATATTAAAACGCTATTATTAGACAAGTTAAAGCCTTTGACATAAGAAAATTCACCGTCCTGATCGAAAATCTTTATCGTGACAGGCAAGCTCTATTTATCATGGAAACTTCTATTGGTCATTGTATGCCGTATATCTGGTACATGTAAACCGGGATATATTAATATTCCGCTGGGGTGCATGCATATCGTGAAAAACTTTTTCCTACGATTAGGTCGAATCACATGTAAAGCACAAATCGACAAGGTGAATATGATGCCACAAAGGGATCGGGACACCGCCCCCATTTAATGTGCATTTATTTTTAAAACTTGCGACTTTATTTGTCCAATAGTCCCATTAAAGTTGGTTCGGTTTATATATAGACAATTTTGTTATTAGATGTTATTTTTAACCGACATTGGTTAGCTATCTGTAGTTAGAGCAAAAAGCATATTAATATACAGCCCAACAAAAGCGTAATTATATGGTTTGACAAGGATGTATACTACACGGAATGGTGTGAAAAAGAAACTCTAAATAAACTGTCCATAGCCCCATCAATTGTTCAAATTTTCGCAGAGCTCTAAATTGTACGTTGACTCGTGAGGTGGTTGTATAATCAGAAGCGAATTTATTATGTGTATCCAAATCCAAATGGGGGTATTCATTAGTTGTTCAATGCAGGAAGGGAGAAAACTTGTTATTTCTTTTCCCGATGATAATAATTTATTTATCGAACGAAAACCCGTTTTCTTGATTAGAAGCATGTATTAGTTAGTCGTTGATATTCAAAACATACGTGACCATGGACCAAACAAACACTGTTGGAATATGCATTTATTAATGCACAGATTAGAAATTGAAGCGCCGTGGCGAACCTTGAGTCACTGTGGTAGGTGTAAATATTACACCATCATCCTAAACGAAGTCGAATCAACACGACAATTTTTCAAGGATGCAGACTCGAAGGTGCGACGACACTCTTGACCATTGATCACATAGCATTAACGTTGACAGCTTTGGGTTACTAATAACATCCCGTTCTATTACTCTTTTATTGCACTAGGGATTTTTGATTGAATCAAGTCTTGTTATTATAAACGACAATGGTAACGATCTAAATTTTGTGCCACGAAAGCAAAGACAGCACGTTGGAGCATATCAATACAATTATTACAATAAAATAAAGTTCCAATCGCAAGCCTGTGTATGGGGCGTATAATTGACAGATGGTATTGTCATCATTGATAAATCAAGAGGCATTATTAAAGGACATCATGATTTTTTTCTGCACGGAGGAAATGGTGATGTGCCATTTCACTAATATTTGTTATTCCTATAAATTTATTAACGAATCAATTGTTACCGATCTGTTCTATCGAAAGTGCGAAAGAATGTTTAGCTAAGCTAAAACAAAATAGTAAGAATTCGACACTAATAATGACTATGAAGAACGTTTAATTCACGATAATTAAACGAGTTTTCTTATAGTCAACACGAAACACGGTATTAATAAAACTTTGAGAAATTTGCCCGGAACGAACGAAACTATATTCTTTAGTCGAACGAAAGGAGGTGTACAGATCTAAATTATTAAAATTGGGAGGAGAAGATGGTCGTAAAAAGCTATATGCAAAATGATCTTACTAAGCGATGCAACTTTAAAGGCATGGTGCTCGTTATCTCTAAATATAAAAATATGGTTAACGGCATTTTGATATGGAATAACAAATAACATTTTCTAGTACGTACCGGCTTATGTTGAATGTTGAGCATCCGGGATAAGTTCATATAAGAATGTCGTTTATAATAAATGCTTATTGATAATAGTTGTTCGTAATAAATGTATACACGTTGCGTATACTTGGGCGCGTGCTTTATCCATGCAAGATAAATGTTAGCCTACTTGATAATATGATAACATGTGATAATATTTGTTAACATACACAAGACAATAACGCCGGTGAGTTATCGTACCTGGAGAAGGCTAGAGCTTCCCTGTGTGAGATTAAAAGATGTGTGGGAAGATTAATAAATTGATCCATTGTACGATATTCTAAGCAAAGCATACGAGAGCATTTGTATGACTATCATCTGTCAGTATATATGCGTTAAATGTCTGATCATACATATTGGAGTATACTCGGTAATATACCAAGCGCAAGTTCGCCTAGCATCCTCGCAAGTCATAAATTTTTACTGTCCCTTAACCACGTTTACCCCAAAGAAACCATCCTTCGATTCCCTTCTCGGTTGAGTAAATCGTGGTTTAGAGAGAATAGGAATGACTCTTAGATGTTGCTTATGATCATGAGAAAGGAATGTAGAGAACATTTGTTGAAGGATGTCAATATGACAGGGCATACCTACGGGTTTTAAATACCTTTTTTAGAATGACATCATGCAGTAAATGAATCCCCAAATAAGCATTTATTGTTAGACATGTAAAAATAAATTTGATCTGTTGAGCAAACACTCCGCTCAGCTCATGTGCGAGTACCAATTATCGATGAGACCTTCTTTTTTTTTTTTAAACCCCTTCTCACTCTCACTCTCTGTGTCTTTTCTCATCACTGCTGTTTCAAACTCTCACATACAAACTCGCCCATATACATGCATACCAGTTCAAACTCTGATATTCTTACTATTCTTTGTATCAATGAACAAGCTTGCAGCAGGTTCATGTCCAGTGCCTCACTTTTTTCTTTTCGATTTGCAACTATGTAACCAATAATATGAGGCCGTGCCAGCGTTGGATACAATCAAGAATGTTCTGTTCCCCAATGCGAATATAGAAAGCCTCATTGTAATTCGTGGTTGAAATTAGAACGAATGAAAATATTATTGGATTTGGTAATTTTTTTATCAGAGTTGGTTCATTTTCTTGGCTACTTGGCACATGATAAACATTTACAGATGGCGTACCATTTCTTCCGAGTACCAATTGCTGTGTCTGAACAAGTACTTAGTTTCGTGCACTCGTTGACGGCGCGCATTCTACAAAACATTTCTATAAAGTATACAAAACGAGTTTAAACTCTATTTACGGGTACAGCAGCTACACACAATACAAGAGATACCACAGCCGTTAAAGTCACAATGTCAACTAAATGATTGCACAACTGTGAGTACCACGACTGTATAAGTAAATAAAGCGTGCTATATTGTTGTTATTATTATTATATTATTAATAGAAAAATATTGACACCGGCGAAATCACTCTGTAATGGATTAGCTGAAATATAACATGGGTACATTTAACGTAATAATTTGAATTGCAAGTTATGTGGACTTGGAATGGCTACTCGAACTTGTTTGTATTATTTGGCAGCAAACGACCGTAACAGCTGTGACAAAGCGGTCGATTTGCAACTTGCAAAAACCGACAGTCTAACGCTTTTGATTGACTTGTCGCTACATTATTATCATATCATTGTTTTAATTGACCAATCCGAAAGTTTAGGCGCCAGCTTGGTGTTTGCTCTTCATATCGATATTATGAGACCGTATTAATGATATAAATGGTAATTGCAATGAAGTAAAAGGTTGGGTTTTTTTTTCATTAGAAAGATGCTTAAGAAATATTTGCTTCCATCGATTACATAATCACACTTAATTTTTAATCAAAAATATGCTTATTATTGTTAAGATAGAACTCACGTTTTCGTGTTTCGTTACAATTTTTATAATACATATACAGTCGTACTCACATCACATGATAAAAATAAGAGAACGCAAATCACTGACACGAGATTTGTGTGCTTAATATAGATCGGTCCACTATATGCAAGATCGTATACAAGAAGAATAGACAGTAATCTCGTGATATCAGGAACCGTAATGTTAAATTCCATTCCTAGAAAAAGTTAGACTTTTTTGGTGGAGCGGTGACGGGACATGTGGTGTAATTCTTACCGAACTTTTTATTTAGGAGAAAGTATGTTGTTCCCATATTAATATGACGTCTGTAGAGTAAAACGAATATACTGGTTTCAGGAGAACCAATGGTGTGACTGTAGAGGGGGACAACTGTATACGGATTACAGAAACCGTTCGACATTGTTGTAACATGTATTTGACATCCGATTTATAATTCTTCTGCGTAACCTTCTGTTGTCTTGTGAAGTTAATAGTTTATTCAAAAATAGTCAACAAAGCCATCATCTGTCACGGATTGACTGTCAAAATTTGCAGACATTGGCCGAGACAAATAACTATTCTGTATAGTTTGAGGTATATTTTTGCCACCACAATGTCAAAAAACTATATTTGGATTACTTCTTGGAAACGGTACGATTACTCGTCCATGAAAGAGGGCTTATGAATTGCTTATATACTTTAACATTATTATTTACATAGCATAAGTATATAAGTGCTAACGCTAACGAGAAAAGGAATTGTCTTTGAATACATCGGATTTCGTTTCGTGCTCCCCAGTATATTGTCTCTGCCGGATTATTCTCTCCTGAGCTTTGTATGCTACCCGGCGTCGACCCCACAGGCGAGTAGTTTACGTATGGTCATGTGATTAAATTTATACTATTAGAATATGCCAAATTATATTATTGTACCTCAGTTTGGGACCTGTCTCAGTTCTGGACTGATATGGCTGGGGGTTTTTTTTTGACTGAGTTCTAGACCGAGATTGCCCCGAACTGAGAAAACCAACTCTCACTTTGAAATACCATCCTTCTCTCTTTAAAGTTAATGACGATAACAATAAAATTTTTATGTCGATTTTTCAGGTTGTTAACAGTAGATACTCTGTAGAGAGTATGAATTTCTTATTAAACGGTTTGCTAGTTCGCTGTGCTTTGCTTTTAGTATATTCACAAATCTCACGTTTATATCGAGGCTTTGGATTATTGCAAAGTTAATTAATGCGTGTGATCGTGATCATGTAATAATCTTTGCTCACTCTATGCTGAACATGAAAATGCAAACATTAAATTATGACTGTTACACAGATAGAACTCAGAAACTGAGACAGGTCCCAAACTGAGGTACAACAACTATAAAGGAGGAATTTTCAATAGGAATGGATCGTAAAAATCGGGTGACTATAAGGGAGGGACTGGGAGGTGTGACTGTATGGGAGGTCGACTGTATTAACATAACTAGTTCACATGCGCATGTTTTTTTATTTAATTGTTTTTCTGGGCTTTTTTATTACCGCGGTAGATTTCCTTCTCATTGCATCGGATAAAAGTTGAGCGTAAAAAAAGGATAAGTTCCAAACACTCAAACCTACGGAAGCTCTACGTAGACTCTATAAAATCGTTAAAATGAATCCATTGCTATTGCATATTTGATCTTCTCGCTTCTCTTTAACTTTAATTTAGCTGACCGCGTTAAAGTGTTTTTCGTTAACAAGTTATCGTCCTACGGATAATGATAACATTTAATAGCACCTATAACAAAGAATGTTTAACAACTTGATTCTACATTAAAATGGAAATACAAGTTGTACATCTACTAGTACTATTTTTAGAGGTACGGGTGGGACAATAGTATTGCACAGTCGTAGTCTATTTAATTCTATATGAAATAAAAAGACCAACTTTTGAATCACTTACTTCATCAGTTGTATATTTAGTAAATTTTGCTTTGACGCAATGGAAAATTTTGCTTAAACCTAGTAATATTTACTTAAAGTAAATGACAATATTCAGTATTTCCTCAATTTGCAGCAATCACAACTTGAATTTGGTTGGGCATGATAATAACAAGTTATGGTATATTTTTCGCGGATGCGAATTCAACTCTTTCATTATTTATAGTAGTAAGCTGCGAAAACCCGTTGGAACTGTTGTGCGATAGTATCTTATAATTTGCAATTCGTCTAGCTAGTTCCTTTACCGTGATTATGGGGAATAGGCTCCTTGGCGAAACTCATTTATGCGCCAAACAGAAATTGGGGTTTTTTACTAAGTTTCTATTCCGCTCATCATGACACGTTACATTAAATATTTTATTTAGACAACTGATGAAGTAAGTGGTCCAAAAGTTGGTTTTTTTTTATTTTCATATCAAAAATTTATGGAATTAAATAAATCACGACTGTGCAATACTTTGTCCTCCCCCGTACGTATCATCAGTATTTTAGGAGGGTTCTTTCTTTTTAATGATGCAGCTCTACAAGAGACCATACTGTAAAACTATTCAGTAATATAATGTTTTTGATGGGACATAATTATAAAGACTGGGAGTTAAACGCACAACGAACGCGATTGCTGCAAACTTGTAAACTTTATTTTTAATTATCATAGATGCTAATCAATCTGAAATGTACACACTATTTAATAACCACATTCGATATTGTTTTTCATGTTAGGTTTACATGCTCAATTCTTCATCTAATTTATAAAAAACCCCCCAGTTAACTAAATTGAATCTTTTTACAAGGGATTTTATAGTCGGTCTTGGGTTATTTTTCTAGGAATACTGTATTTACTACCATCCTACTTTAAATAAATAGACTGCCATTTTATAGCTATTAATAAGCAATTTATTCTGCTTACCTCTTGATATCTGCCCATAAAAGTTACAGTTACAGTCTGCATTCTCTTTTGAAATTGAGCAGTTGAGTATAGCTAAAATTTAGAGCTTATATGGGGTCATCACTATAGTAACTGTTAGAAGCTATGTCGATGTTGATGATGTTGAACGGACTAGAGGTATGTAAACTGTTCATATTTATATGAAAGAGATGTGTATCAGTAAAGCTCACAACTTTGCATTTGTCTGATAGTGATAATACCCCATTAGGATTACTATTGTTCTTTACACTGCTGGCTCTATTATTTTCTTCAATAACATTAAGCACAGCGTACATCTTAACCATAAATCGATGAACAAAGAAAGATAGAAAAATATTCTCAAAATCTATTATGCTTGTAATGTGGCAAGTGTGAGGAAAGTCTTATACAGTACATCGTCTTATCAATATACACGACAGACTTACAGGGCATCTCAAGCTCGAAATCCAAGGAAAAATCTCTTATTCTTACGCTGTAAAAAAGTAAATTGCAGATCTCGAATACTACGATTGTATGGAATTTCAACGGTTGCCGCATGGCGTAACCATGTGTCAGTTTAGAAATTAGTTTGAGGGGGAATCCACCATATAAAAATAGAACAAGTCATACCCGAAAACATATCTCCCAATTGTTATTTTAATATTAAGATTAAACTTTTTTTATTGCACGGAAGAAATAAAGAAAATTGATGTGGCTTTGCTCACATATAAATATGCGCAGGTTGTCATACATTATTCCTTATGAAATTCATCGAATCAAAATCTAACAATGAACAAGGTCCTTGTAACGTCACCCCACTGCCGACTGCATGTGACTCTCAAAACATCAAATGTCATTATAAGCCTCTACATTTCCCATTCTTAATACATATCGGCTTATTCGTCGAAACTACCACAGTTCAGAGTCGCTACTTTCTCCTTCTATTTATCCCCCCCATCCAACAGTAGACTTTCTTTAACTTCTAGTCTCTCGTTTTCATAATGGGCTCTGCATCTCCTCCGGACTCGAGTCCAACGAGGATTGACAAAAGGTAAGCGGTTCGCAGATTGCTCTTAACAATGGTCATGTATGAACTAGTAAGACCACAAATATTTTATTTGATAAAGATGGAAAATGACCATGCATTGCTCCCGTACGCACTAAATCAACCATTATTTTTGCCTCGTAAATTTTCATATCCAATTACACGTATGCCAATTACTTTAAATTTAAAGTGAAAACATTAGCACCGACCAGGGTGCCCAGTCCTTAACGTTAGACAATGCCAACGACAGATCCGACTCTTCTGATACTGTCATTCGCAAAGGCCGCGGCACTTTCCGCGCCGGCTCTGACACTCAACAAGAACAAAAACCATCCCGTCCTCCTCGGGGCCGTGACATTGACCCAACCGCTCAACGCCAATATCCTTCCAAATCGAATGACAAATCTATTAAACAAGGCCACCGCAAATCAAAATCCGAATCCAGACGCGGTAGCAATGGTATTTTTCAACCTGCATCAGAGAGTGGTGATTCAGCCACGGAAGCCATTTCTGCTGACGATATGTCTAGGCTCAATGCTGCTTTTGAGAGCACTTCGATTAATGACAATAATTCTTCTCTTGCTGATAATGTGTCGGGAGTAAGGGTGCAAGGAAATGCTACTATTCAGACACAGAACCTTGAAGAGTGGGAGCGGAATGCGGATGGTGGTGAAAGGGTCAATACGCCTACTTCTCCGGCTGACGGTGAAGCGAAGAGGCTGGATGGCCAGAGGAGTGATGGTGGGAATTATAATAGTAATAGTGGTGGTAATAACAATACGAACAAGCCTCCGTTCAAGAAGGGGCATAAAAAGAGCAAGAGTAGCAGGATTGAGTTTAATTTTGATCCCGGTGAGTATTTTTTTTTTTTTAACGGGATAATTAATATATACAATCTTTTGAACGAACATTCACGGTGAAAGAAAACTTTCAATTTCTTTTTGGTCATTTTGCTCATGTTACACTGTTTCTATTTTCTAGATGCGTATGAAGGGTCGACACGTATTCTTGATGTATTCGGCTTCCCGGCGACTTTTAAGACACACAATCTCCACGAGATTTTCCACGAATACGAGAATATGCGTGGAGGTTACCGCATCAAGTGGATGGATGACACCCGTGCCCTTATTATCTTTGAACATCCTGCTACTGGTGAGTAGAGTGTAGGTAACTAACTACTCTTGATTAAACGTGGGAAGAGAAGATATGTATAATATTGCAATTATGGTGGAATGGTAAATGTTGACCGATTGTTGCTTTTTATTGCACGCCTTTACACTATCAATAGCGCGAAAAGCGTACTTGGACAACGTGGCTAATCCATTGGCCTCTGTGAAGCCGTATGATGGGCCAACGGATTTCCTCCAAAAAAGTAAGTTATGACATGAGCCAATGTACAATATACAAATTTTGTATTTGATTGCCCTATTGCATATGATATATCCCATATTTCGTCTTTTAATCGTCTCTCTGCCTTGATGAATTAGATGCCAATAATGCAAATAATGCTATCCCCCCCCGCGCTCGCCCGCAAACAACTGATGTGGTCGCAAGGCGATTGGTACATGGTGCTCTTGGTGTACGTGGTCCGAGGTCTCCCGAGCAGCGTCAAGCTGAGCGACAGTTGTTCCAGAATGCCAGAGGTAATTAGCTAATAACACTTTCTTCTGCAAGAGATAAATGATAAATTTGGTGCTAGTGTCCGATTTCATAACATCTGTATTTATAAACTATTTATTATTGTATTGATGACTGTGTTATTGTGTATTGTTGAAATGTTCCCATATTTATAAAAAATTTTTTGATTTTCATCTTCTTTGCTTGAATGCTTTCCATATCAAAGACCAGCGTGACCAAAAGCGTGCTGAGGAGGTTAGACGTGTTCAAGAATTGGAAGCTGCTTTTAATGAGTAGTATTGATGTGAGCTGTGAAATGATGATGGCTGTGAATTTCGCCACGTGAAATCAGTTGAGGTATTCCTGCTTCGTCACACTAGTGTAGTGTAGTACACTATTTGTATTCAAAGTTTTTATGGCAATGATTCAATATACAGTATGTGTCCATACGTAGTATTATTAAATCTTTGTATTCTCTAGCCAATAGATCTACTTTCTTGTGCAAATCTTTCGTATATATGGGCAGGTCTAATCACGCTTGATTTTTGCGGACTAACTCTTTAAATCACTATAGACTTATGATAATTTATATCAAAAAAAGTTTTATATCAATTAGATAAACATCGGGAAGGTATCCTTTTGTGTTTCAATATTAATATGGGGATTTTGTCGGCTTGCAGTTTCAACGTACTTCTTCCCCTTGAGTCAATAATGTCCTGTTTTCTTTTTGGCTTTGGAAATATATATCGTTCAGTCTCACTCGACAACTTGCGACGTTAATAATAAGGTTTGAGTTTGGCATGCAGGGAGACCAAGGGGGTAACAAACGGGAAGATATCCGATTGTTTGATCTTCCAATCCCCTAGACTGTTTGCGCTTGTTCACCGAAAGAGACATTTAGACGGGGAGCAAATATTAAGATATTGCTATGCGACATTTGACATTTATCATTAGGAGTTTTGACTCCACCATGATCGTGAGCTTAAAAGCCTGGTTACAAAAATCTTATTGGACACAATATGATTCTACAAACAATAGAAATAATGAATTTGCCCGATATAAATCTTAATATAGTAATCAATACCAACAATAGAACAAGGTAATGTCCATGATAAATGTAATGAGTAATTCTAACAGTAGAAACTTCCTCTATTTGTGGAAGATGCATTGATGGTTTAGACTGCGTGAAAAAGTTCTATTAAGGAATGGCTCTATAACAAGAGTTGGTCTTAAATGTAGCTTGGTGGCGGAATTAATACAAATAATGATTAAGGAACAAATGATTGGCTTAAGTGTTTCTGCGCTTTAAAAAAATGGTTATAGTAAGCACAAAGAAGCCGAATTTAGCTAAACCCGAAGTGGTTATGCTATCGTTATTAGTAATGTCTAACAACGTGACTATGACAATTATTGTGTTTGCCATGTTTGGGGTGATTAATAAAAACAATTCAGAGACAAAGGACATATTGTTGAGTTATTGCATTCGTTTCTTTTATCAGTGGCTGAGTTTTTTGAGATTTGCGGTCTTTGTTAGTATTAGCTACCAATGTTTATACCGAGCACTGCTCACATATTAAAATTACATAAATAGTTTCAAGTTCCAACGTATTCACTTTTGTGACTTATTGCGTTAAAAATGGTTTAACCAAGCAAATTGAGTAGATTCAACATTTGCGATGAATAATGTGAATTTTAAAAAATATCAACTAGTCGGCGAGAACCAAAAGAATAACTGACCAACTTTGGGGAGAGGCTTTTAATTAACGAAAAATCGCGGTCGAATTCCTGTTACTGTCTCCAAGTAAATTTCTTTTTTCTCCCAAACAAAGAATTAATCCATGCATAACCCTAAAGAGACTGTTCCATAATAGGATAAATAAAAATGTCCAAGACAAAAGATCCTTGATTCACTTTGTCTCGTTTTATATCACATGATTATAGATATGAACGCGCGTGCACGCCAATCAGAGAAAGGATACTCAAAGTGTGTGTTCCCGTGCGGCGCAATATTTTGCAATATTTTGTTGTTTATTTCGTTACGTAAGCTCGTGCAAAAATCTTCCACGTTGTCTGTAACCATATATACATATATAAGCAAACGGAACTTGTCAAGGAAAACTTTTTCCATAGCGCTTTTCTTCGTCAACGTTGAGGCTTTGTCCCTTCCTTTCGATCTTTACCTTATAGTTATGTGAAAATGGTTCAACATACCTCTGCAGAAGACACTTGGACGGCTTTTGAGAAACTGCTCTTGGCACAAGCAGTATACAAGTTTAGTGATAATTGGCTAGCAGTTTCTCGAACCATGAAACAGCATCCCATGATTGACAGACCACCGGAATTTTTTTCACCAAAGGTATGTTGATTAGCTTGCTCTCAAGAAGATAGTAAAACCGTTGTTATGGGTTTAAGTCACGTGAGACAACCAATAAGTTTACGCCACAAGCAGGTTATTTATTAGACCATGATTCTTACTTTCGCTTCTTACGCAAATTGGTATAACTCTGGGAATTTAGCTAGTTAAAAAAAAAAAAGAGTTAGTTACGATAGCTACAGTTGTCCTTGTGGCAACACGATCGTTGTTTGACAAAGAGGCTCCAAATGTGTTCTAGTACTGACAATCGATTGTTAATGAACAGATTTGCCAAAATAAATACAAGGTTCTCATAGGGCCTTTGGAGCTGGATGAAGTTGAATTGTATGTATTACGCTATTCGCGACTTCTTGTCACGATTTCTTGCGCTGAATATACATCAAGGGGCAAGTTAATTAAATTATAAATAGCTTACATGTGTAATTGCAGTGAACGACAGTATAATCAAAATTACAGTACGAGGGAACGCGTCATGACGGTAGGATAGTCACTTGACTTGTTGGATAGTGGGTGAATGTTTTCTTGTATAATAGCTATCAAGGATATCCATCATATATTCAGTGCAAGATATTGTCTACTTTACTATATTAATACGTTTTGAGCTACAAATTTCTGATGCTTCCTCTATTTCTCTTAATACATCCAGAGAGAATAAAAAGAAACTTGGAGAAGGCATAGGGGCAAATGGTTCAGTAGGATTATTGTTTATTATTTGCAATTTAGCAGAGCAGACGTAAGCAATAATAATCACTTTGAATTTGTATTCACACAACATGTTTTGCGTCAATATTTTATTCTTGTCCTTTCTTAGATACGCGAATGCCGGTGGCCGCAAAATTGGCTCGTAAACTATATAGTGACCGGATAGGCGAACTAAGATCATTAATCGGCGAAGAAGAACAGAGATTTCGGTAAAGCTATCACAAATACGACTCTTATTTGTAACCAGACACCCCGTACTAATTGCAATTATCTCTTTTAGCAAGGTTGTGGCAGAGATAGATGAGATAAGATCAGGGAAAAGGGATGATGAGTTAAGGGAAATACTGAAAGAACAAAATCGGGAAAAGGATCATACGCCAAATGTACTAGAGGCAACTACCAAGACAAACGCTACTGTTGCGAAAGGTTTGATTACTTAATGTTGACGATTCAGTTGGCAACATAAGTTCGCAATGACTAATGCAATTACAACATCTTTGACAGGCATAGCAGGCAAATCAGACGGTGAGATACACAATAATTAATTTGTCACATAAGGCCGTTGATTATAAATTAAATACCAACATTCTTCCAGCAATAAAGTCATCGGTCGCCCGAACAACGACTACGAAGCATGCCCGTTCACCGCGTCTTGCTTCATTACCTACTACATCAATACATACTTTCAGAAGTACAAGAGATAAACAGGCAGGAGCTTCAGCCGACAAGGCAAGTGCGATGGAAATCGATCAAACTGCGGCAACATCACAAGCAAAATCAACAACATCACTGCGATCGACGACTTCTCACTCGTCGTCAACTAAAAAAGGGTCACGTTTAGACTCAATGGACATTAATCAAACATCTGCTACTATTGAACAATCCTCACAGTTAGCCTCTGAGAAAATTGGCAAAGACTTGGTAGCATCCGGATCATCAGTCAAGCCAGTCGATCATATGGATATTGATCCAAAATTCACTGAAGATAACTTTGATATTCCCGATAACGTTACTTTTCAAGAGCCCAACGCCACCGAATTAGAGCCGCTAAAACACGAAGCATTAAGAAGGATAATGAAAGCAACATCACCAAGCCAGACCGAATTGGAAAATGACAGCCCACGAACAGTTGCTGAAGATTTGGCTATGGATATTGATGAACAAATGGGCGAAACTCATAGGGATGTTGCAGAGACATCACCGCGTGTACACTTTGCCGAAGCCGGGCTCGGATCTTCGTCTCATCCCACTGTTGGTGAAAGAATGGAATACGATGACGATACTACGCCTGGTAATGGCGGTCAATCAGATATAGAAGCATCGAATACAAGCCCAACGGCAGGTAAAGACACAGATACAAGCTCATTTGATGCTATTCATATTCCAATTGTGTCGTCACCCGTTCAGATGGAAGGTATGAATTCAGCTGAAGCACAGGCATCTCCGATACCCTACACAATAGTAATGCAGGCAAGTGCTAGTATGGATACTTCAACGAGAGAAGAAACCAGTGATGATGATGACGTACGAATGGTACATGTTTCATCGGATGATGAGGATGCCAAGGAAGCAACTATGAGCAAGGATCATGAACACGAATTGGAACTGATATCGAGAGAAATGAAAGGGACGCCAACTTCCGCTGGACGTGCTCCTTCTACTCCTGGAGATGGTAAGGATAATAACGGACATGGTTTATGCATTAAAACCAAGCGTGATAAAAGTCGTAACACCGGTCTCATTTGTTCTTATGTTAATCCTTAATCAGGCGCAAGTGAAATAACAAATGTAACACCAGGTGCAGAGACGTCAGGTACCCCTTTTTTGATTAATACCTGCTTTGCATTGTGCTGTTATTCCTAAAATATGTCTTTCCTTTATTCAATTTCATTGCGTAGAAGGTGCTGGGTCAATGGCTGACAAGAAACACAAGACGTGGCAGAGACTTGTGTATATGATATTAACTGATATTGGTAATCATCGGTTTGCGAGCGTGTTCCAGAATCCGATTAAAGAACAAGACGCGCCTGGATATTATAGTATTGTTAAGCAGCCAATGGATCTGAAAACCATTAGGAAGCGACTCCGTGATTTAGTATGTGAAATCTTACGAAAATCCGCTCGCATTTCCGTAACTTGTACTAATTTCTGTTGAATTCATTTTCTGTAGGTTGTTACAACTACAGACGAGTTTCATCGAGACTTGATGTTAATGTTCATGAACGCTCTAATGTATAATCGAGAAGAAACGCATATATATCAAGTAGCAATGCAAATGAAAGATGAGGTTGAACAAATGATTCTAGAGTTTAAGCGAAGCGAAAGTGCTCGTTCAGGATCATTTGAGACAACTACGCGGAGAAAGAGTGTGGCAACTGAGCCTACTAGTCGGATACCGCTGACATGATAATTAAAAATGAAGCAAATCGGACTCAATATTAATAAAAGTTAAAACACGAGTTACATGCGTCTGCATTACGTAACACTGTATATAAAGCACAAGATCGATTATGATGACAGAAGTTCATAAACATGAAACGTTATTACGTGACAGTATTCTATATAATAAGGCAGCGTCACACATTTGTAGTTTTGTTTTAAATAGTCAATAACATCGTAGTCGTTTAGAAAGAGTTCGAAGATTGATTGGTATATCAAACCTACTATCAGACTTTAAGAAAAAAATTTTGCCTCTTACATATCTACAATACGTTAAAATCAGACACTCGAAGCTTATCTCAAGAAAGAAAGAAACGGCTGTCTATCAAACACAGTTTGTATATATTAAAAAATAAAACTTCAAACAAAGACGCTTCGAATTAGTTTTTCACATTTAATTAATTTAATTTTGTCAATTTACAAAGCAAAAAACCCCAATCAATTGGTTTTTTAGACAAATTTGTAATAAGCTTGTTTAATTACTATTACGCGTAATTCAGTCGCGAATATACTGTACTTACTTATTCTTCATTTAATTGATAACAATAAGAGTAAACACAACTGGACGTCGCTCTTGGTAACCTTTACGTACGGTAACTCTGATTAAATATAAAGAATGTTTATAGAATTCTGTTCATGTGATGACAGCAATTGAATCACTCCACAACAGCAGATGATTCATATGATAAGCGTCCGCCATTGCCATACGAGTGTATCAGATTATTTGACAGAAGAATAATTCTTAATGCAACAATTGACCTATCGATCAGATAAAAGAAATAAGACGGACTGAGATTCTTAATTATTACGAAAATTGATAATCCCTCCGCTGCCATTTAAAAACTTGCCTAGCTGTGAATAACCTCAACTCGGGATGCACGTGCACAGCTACGTAACCAAATTATTATTTATCATCTATTAGAATAAGAAATCCATCTAACACGTAATAAGAGACGAGAATTAGGGTCCGACTTATTGTAATCTGGGCTTATCGTCAACAAAAAAGCCAAGGTCAACTGATTAATCGTTCTCCCCACTTTCAGCTAGCATGATAATAGTATGAATCAGTTATTGAAGTGGTGAGCATTATTATTATACTATTACATGAGTTTCCAAGTAATCACTCGAAATATTGCAGAAAGAGCAGAATACCATTTTATCTGGTAATAACAGTGTAGTTTTCACATTCCCAGATCTGTCGAGTTAATTAGCTATTGGCAATTAATCTTCAGATTTAACTTCTTCAAACGAAGTTGGCAATACATCTACTCTGCTAAACTTAAAATGAACCTTAAAATTGGATTTGCATACTCACGACTCCTACATATACGCGGACTCTCGATTATCAATAAAACGCCTCTACTTCTATCGATGGGATAAATCCGCTAGTCTGTAGGTACGATCGGTCTAGACAGTACGTTCTAAAATAGGACTATTGAATTGAATTTCGCAAAACTGCCGCAGCATATTGGTTATAATGTTCAACTTTAATTTTAACATGAGGTGGAAAATTAATTTACAATTTCCATTCAGGTTTACCAAGAGAGTAACTATACGACTGTTTATGAAGTGGCCGTAGATCGAGGACGATTTTGTCTCCGTTATTAAGCTTTGTATCTTTCGCCATTTTGAAAAAGTGCACTATTTATGATACTTTTTTTTTGTCGTTTGATCCACCAAATAGACAACCTCACTTTTTGGAAGGTTTTGCCAGCCCAGTATCATCTGTAATTTCTAAGACTATTTCTCACCGGCCTTGAAATTTACTAGTAAATAAATAAAAAGCTTTTTGCACGGTTAGCAATGACTGATCTTCTAATCCAACCATTTGCAAAGTGAAAAGCATGAAACAATTGGAGAGATCCCATAAAATTTACTATGATATCTGCACCCAGAAATATCACGGAAACCTCTCAACGAAAATAATAGTCTCGGTTTTCAAAAATGACTAAAGGCTCTGCAGTGTTTGTGCTTGTGAGTGTACAATGTAAACTAAAAAAATAGCTTACAGAATCATTTATTATGATAAATGTTATGCTTAACGGACATTAAGAAGTTTTATTCTGCTTTTCCCACTGAGCTGGCGTGTACGTTTTCTTAAATTCAGGTGGTAATGAGGGATGTGTGTGAGAGACAAGATAACTAACAATTGTATGAGTGGGAATATTATTCACCTGTGAGAAAGCATGTAAAGTAGCTATTTCGGCTTTGGCGGCATTATTAACCATTTGGTGTTTCTGCAAGAGCGTCTTGCCTTCAAACACTGCGGAAACAATAACAACATCAAAGCTTTGACCACAACCGTCTTGGGTTGTGAGCGTATTGATAAATATACTATTCTTCACAAATAAATTAACACTCTAGTAATGCCTCATACCCGAAGTATCAGTAGCTATCACATAATCTGCAGACAACTTTTCTTTTAAGACTTCCTCCAAAGACTCTTTTGTAACAGCCATTGCAAGAAACGCAATCACGCAAGAAAGTGAGGGTTCTCAATATTATTGGCTTCAAAGAAATTGGGCCATTTTTTTGATCCCCCAAATTTAATCGACCAATAATCAACGAGTAGACTTTATCTAATTACTGGTGGTCTGGGACAAGTTGTATCGTTATAAAAATCACCGGCAAACCTTCTTACTTCATTACACAGATATGTCTGCCGTATGACTCGTAAGTACGGACAGGAAAAAGAACCGTAAGCGTCACTTATTACGATTGATCGGCAAGGATTTTGGGGTACAGATTTGACTTTCTTGCAAATCATTCCTTCGTGCTACCACTGGTATATACGTAATATACATGGAAAAAAGGCTTAGACTGTAGCGAAGATAACAACGTCCTTACCAACTGGTGCATAAAGTTCCCTAGTAGCTGGTATTTCCATACACGTATTGTAGCGTCCATACTGGCTGAGTAACAGGTCGATTGTTGTATGACCACCACGCGTTAATATTGCACATCTTATGCGATAAACACAACATCGCTCTAGTCTATTGTTGGCTTTACTTTGATGACAGTGTTTCATTCAAGTCCCACAATTTGACAGTCCCATCTTCTGATCTAGAAACAAATAACGGTTCATAGTGGTGCCATGACAATGACCGCACACCGTCAAGATGTGATTTTGACAATGTTAATCGAAATACGTTGTTTAACAGAATGCATGAAATGAAAAAGTACCTGTGTAATGTAAATCGCGTTTTCCATAATTTATTGTCTACACCATTTACGGAAAATATTAACCTTTGTCTCCTTTATGGAATATCATTCGATTGACGCCGTAATACAAGATCCACGTCACATTTACACTACCTCTGCTTGAATCGTCTAAGCCTTCTTCCGCATTAAAGAATAATCTAAATTTGAACAGGGAAACTTACATCCGCAGAAATTTCATCGGATGATTTATGTTCAGAAGCCTTTGGCACGGACTTGGATGAGGCTGTTTCAGACCGATTATTATTGACAGTATATTTTTTTACTTGATTAATGCCAGGGCGCATAAAAGACACAACACTCTTGTTAACAAGATCAGCGCAAGGAACCAATGCAGTGCGCAAAAAAGATTACAACCGCTTGTTGGACTGAAAGTGATTTGCATAAGCATTTTCAGAATAGTAAGTTTTACTATATTTAATAATATGGAAATCGATGTCACTTGCAAACATAGCATTCAGCCTTAAAACCAGCTTTGTCTGCGTCAGACTTTTGCTGATCAATTAGCTTTTGAGCGAAAACCTCCAAAGTGTTAGGAGGCAGTTCGGCAACTTTGCGTTTAAGATTATATCTATGCCAATTCGTTGCATAATGATCTCTTTGTAACTCGGCGGAATAAAAGGCTATTTGGCAAGCGAGGCATGTAAAAAACTGGGGCTGATGTTAAAGAAGTTAGAGCTTGGCAATTGTCGGTGATCAATGTTTTCAGAGCAAATATATATTTATAAACTAGACATAAACCAATGGCTCGTTTTTATTGACATAAACGTTAGTTCGCTTATCAGAAATTTTTTAAAACCTGGTTTTTCCATTGGTTTATGAAACAGGTGTTAAACTGTCTGCTGCCAAGGTTTTGAGGCCGCAGCTTTCTTTCTTCGAAGCCAGTTTCATTTGAGGTTTATATGTTCTTACTATTACTATTACTATTGTAAATGATCGTAAAAAAAACCCTTCATATGGAAATTAATATGGGGCTTATTTTATTCGATTATGACCCCTACGATCATCTAGAAGCATGTAAAGCGCCTTCCGGCCATTTAAGCGATCACTGTGTAAAAAATTAATTAATATTCCATTACACTGTATGATTTGATTTATAGACAGGATATGCAAATAAGTAAACTATTATTATTATCTAGTCTCAGCCTTAGAGTATGAGCAATTCCATCAAATCTTCGGACTCATCCATTTTTCTTGGCTTTAGTAATCTTTACTATATTTTCACTATGCAGTTACTATACAGCCACAATGCAATTACAATGCAGTTATTGCATATGAAACTCAGTTACTGCATATGAAAATAAAGCTTATATATCCACAAACTCATTTTATTTTTTATTGCGTTCGAATATCGTCTACCATAATGCCAAAGTTTTATTTATCAAATCGCACTACAAAACGAGTAGAAGTGAAAATCGAAATGCACTCTAGCGTTCTTGACCCGCAATGGGTTAGAATTGACCCCTGGTTACGAAAAAGAATGGTCTAGATCCGAAAATATTCAATATGATATAGGAGTTAAACATCCTTTAACCAGTAAGTTTTTATTCGCAGTAAGTTTTATTTACACTCAACTTTAGAAATTTCGTAACCAAATATTTTTTATGAGGATCCTCTTTTCCAAGAAAACCTGAGCACTATAAAATTTTATATGATAGGAATAACGGTCTCAGTTTAGTTCGTTATTGATAATGTTTAGAGACAAGATAACTAACAATTGTATGAGTGGGAATACTATTCACCTGAGAGAAAGCATGTAAATTGGCTATTTCGGCTTTGGCGGCATTTGAAGAGCGTCTTGCCTTCAAACGCTACGGAAACGATAACAACATCAAAGCTCCGCGAGCGTATTGATAAATATACTATAAATTAACACTCTAGTAATGCCTCATACCCGAAGTATCAGTAGCTATCACATAATCTGCAGACAACTTTTCTTTTAAGACTTCCTCCAAAGACTCTTGTAACAGCCATTGCAAGAAACGCACCACGCGAAGGGTCTCACAGAATAGACTTAGTAACCAATATTATTGGTCGAAGCGGCTGATAAACGCCACAATCAAATTCACTAGCCACCAACCACATATTCAGTTGAAGGCTTGTTCGCGTATAAACATTTACGTCAAGTCAAAAATGTGTTGTCTCTTTCATCAATTTATTGTGTCGACACTGCTAACATCGATTCACGTTCCAAATATAAATTGGTTTAGTTTGTCAATCTGAAATTAAACTTTCATTTATTCTACCGTTATTACCAGTTGGCACAGTTTTACACAAAAAGTGTTATATTTAGATTGATTATACACATTATTATATATATATATATATATATATTCCTACTTGACAACGAATGCAAAGTGAATACAACCCCCGAATATACAAAAAAAAAAGTAGTTTGCGAAGTAATACCACGTATTCCAAGGTCCATTCAATAATTAAAATAAATGTATCAGATTAGTACTAACAAATAAGTTTACCAAGATTCTTTACCAGAAAGCATCCCATATTATAAAATGACCGTAATGAATATTGACGGTTAGTTATATATTTTAACTGCAGAGTCGGCCCCACCACTTGCAAGCCATGGAAGTGTTGGATGATACTGCAGACACAGTACGCCTTCATCTGATTTACGACGATGAGACATAAATTCTTGAACGCACGTTTGCCCTGAAAGAATATCCCACAGACGTATTGATGCGTCATGGCCTAGTTGGATTGAAATAGTTGGATTTCTTAGTAATTATCATCCATCATCATTACCTAAGCCGAACTAACATACCCTCCGCCTATCCTCCCCCCCTCGGAAATCACATACGTCACTAAAGACCTGATATTTACCTCCTGATATTAATGTCATCCCTGACGGGTCAATGTCTAGCGATGTGACTGAGTCCAAATGCGCTGACATTGAAAATATGGGTTCACCTACATCGCACATACAGTGTTGATATCATCGACTGTGTTCCATGAATTCATCAGTAAAAACTAATTCCACGAAGTACTTACCACTATTAATATCAAATCCTCTTATAAATTTATCTTCATGTGCGGAGAACACTTGAGGCATAGTTGGGTGACAGATTATACGATTAATCTGCGTACTAGCTGTACCATCATATGTTTTATCACTCTTAAACGTCACCACTGGCTGTCCCGTCTCAATATCAAAGATTTTGATTATCGAATTTCGAAATGACACAGCAATCTTTTTCAGATCTGTATGCACAAAATCTATAGATGTTGGCACCGGGGGACGGCCTGACAGAAGGAATTGGATGTTAACATTATTCGCAAATAAATTTCGGAATCACAGCAATTATTAATGCTCACCTCCACCATTAAGTCTATCAGCATTTCCAATACCGTAATAGTTCCAAGTACTCTTTAATGGAGAGCCTGTTGCTTCAGTATCCCATATCTTGACGGTACCATCAGCAGCAGCCGATGCAAGTAACTGAGAATATCGGTCGTGTATTGGGAACAGCCGTAAATCCCAGATTACGTCCGTATGGCCAATGTATGCAGTCAAGTTTAGTGATGGATCTGAGTGAGACAAGAATTAATTCATCCAAGCAGAATAGGGATCATCTCAAACAACAGTAAACAAACAAATAGGATGGGGGATTCCAAGATAGGTATATATATACATGGAAAAGGCTAGACCGTAGCAGAGATAACTACAATAAAATCGTCCTTACCAACTGGTGCATAAAGTTCCCTAGTAGCTGGTATTTTCCATACACGTATTGTAGCATCCATACTTGCTGAGTAACAGGTCGATTGTTCGGTAGATAGCACCACGGATGTTACCGGTAATGTATGACCACGATACGTTAGTATTGGTTTTATGTCAAATTGTCTATAGAATAGAAGGCAGATCGTGAGTTTCAGCAATTCACACATCTTATGCAATAAACACAACATGGCTCTAATCTATTGTTGGCTTTACTTTGATGACAGTGTTTCATTCAAGTCCCACAATTTGACAGTCCCATCTTCTGATCCAGAAACAAATAACGGTTCATATTGGTGCCATGACAATGACCGTACACTGTCAAGGTGACTAGAAATGTGATTTGACAATGTTAATCGAATACGTTGTTTTAACAAAATGTGACAAATGATGAAATGAAAAAGTACCTGCGTAATGTAAATCGCGTTTTCCATAATTTATTGTCTACACCATTTACGTGCCCTTGATCAGTCTATTATAAAAGTTTTGGGAAAATATTAACCTTTGTCTCCTCTACGGATATCATTCGATTGACGCCGTAATACAAGATCCACGTCACTTTTACACTACCTCTGCTTGATTGCCTTGCTCATCATCAACGTCGCGCCAGGCATTGGATAACTCACCCAACTGAGGGTCAGACGTCTGCTCTCCTACTCGCATGTTGACATGATGTAAATATTTTCGTTTTGTTCAGCCTTTGAAAAACTTTTCAACTATACAAACCAATGAATTCATGGCTATTTCTCCTCTTTGTCGTTCTTATAACTTTGTCCAATTTCTCGTTTGATAAATTAAATTTTGCTTGCACGTCCTTTTTCTGTTATAGTTATGAAAACAGTAAAAGAACAATAAACTTTGAAGCTTAACATGACTCTTCGTTCAATAATCCGCATTTCATCATAACAAACATACCAATTGCTCTTCTTCTATTTTCTCTTCTTCTGCACTCTTCTTTGATGGCTTCTTAGTCGCACCTATTTTGTTGTTAAACGCCTCTCTCCATCTATTAAATGACTTTTGTGCGTACATAGCAACACTCTCCTCATCATCTACGCCTTTGTCCAAATAACTTCCCTCTTTCTTTCCAACTCTATTGCTACTTTCTCTCCCACGAATAGTAGAAACTGTAGTTTCATCAATACTGGGAGAGAAAGGTGAACTACTTATTGGTGTAGATTGTTCTTCATTGTAATCGTCCTCGTCCTCATCATTGCTTTTGCCAGTCTCGGCTTTATTTTTACCCTTCCTGTCTTCAGCAGCATTAAACCAATTGTCCTCATATTCATTAATATGCCTTCGAGATGATACTTGCTCAAGTGGTGGACTGGATGATTTTGGAGGTACTATCGTTGATGGTGTAGCAGTAGGAGCTGGTCGAGAGGGACGCATTTGTTCCCGAGAATCATTACGGTTATGAGATAATGTTCCGTGTGGTTCGGAGCCCAAGTATATGGTGCTAGCGCGGTTGGCTTGCTGGGAGAATGCCTGTGTCGAATCATTTAACTGAACAGTATCGCTACGATTAGGGATAGGTGAGATGCCGGTTGTTGCTACGCTCGTAAGATATTCTATCTCTTGCAGGCAGCTTGAAAAATAGAATAGGAGTGAAAAGATAAAACCGAGATGGGTAGAATAAAGAATAGTAATGAGAAAGAGAGAGGAAAGAAGTAGATTTGTTTAACATAATGATATATTTGTTTTACGCGTTTACATAAAATCAATAAAATTATTATCTTACATAATACGTACTTTTTAAGCAGTTGCTGACTCTTGGCTCGAGTTTTCTGGTCACGAGATAACTGTATATTCGTATACTGTGCGGAAATTGGTCTAGACGGTTGTTTCAGTCCCGTTATCGGTACTGAGAATTTGTGTTGAATGAGTTATCAAAAATAAATAGACATGCAAGTTCCACGAAACGCCGTCGCCAAACTATGAATTAAAAGTTACATACTTCCATTCTCGTTGGTGGACGATGTGACTTCAGTTGTCGCGATTCCAGGTGGGGAAGCCGTGTTATTCAAGTGCGATTTTTCAGCCACGTATTTACTCCTATCAGGCACGAAAAAATTTATCATGATGAGTTTATCATTACGTGCGATTGAGTATTTAATGTCCATAATTCGGTAAGAATCGAGGCTTTTTTTTTTTTAATAATGCATTAATGATAATTGCCTTTCTTGTCGCAACGCATATTCAAGCATTTTAACTCTTCTCATTAAATCTGTTTTCATATTCTCAATTCCACGGCGTTCGCCTTCTAACAGCGCAATACGAGCCTAGGGAATCGATGGAACGTAATACACGAATTAATCAACAATCACACGAGAAATCCCATTGAAAGATATGCCGAGTATGATTTCTTTGCTAGAACGCATAGACGAGTCAATGATGTATTCGAAACCTCTCTTTTCTGATCTATATATGTCTTTAAATAAAATTTCGCCGAGCTCCACTCGGATCGAGTTGACTATTCTTCCGATAACTCACGCACCTTCATTTCAGCGCGTTCTATCTCCCATTCGTTCCTATCCCTCTCGTATCTTCTCCATTCTGACTGCAAGAAGTGCAACACTCCTGGGAGTGTGTATTCTTGTGATTGAGTCTGTTGTCCTTGTTGTCCATATGTTTGAGCCATAATCGGTAAGGAACGGAGTATCTGAAGTATTCCTAGGGCGTGGAGAGAGGGAAACGAAGGAACAGGCGAGGTCGAGTACGAGCAATTGTTTATAGTATTGAGTAGTAGGAATGACTGTTAGAGAGATGTGAGTTTTGCGTGAAACGGGGGTGAAGTGAATCGTGTTCATGTGACAGCAAGCATTGTGATGATCACAGTGTTGTGAGATTATGATTGGACGGATTAGAATGGTTGGATAGAATGTGGCTTAGTATATCTTTGTGTATCGATCGTACATGGTAATCACAAGCTTTTTGATTCAGTTTGGACGAACATTTAGGCTTTTCTGAAAGGCTTGTTTGCAACACACTTTTTTTTATTGTTCATCAAACTTTTTTTTTTGCAAGTCAGTTTTTGCGATTGACGATATTTATAATTATAATGTCTAGAAATTTCTCATTTTCCGAAAAACCGAAACGTCATATATCTATACATACACATATAAAATGAATACAACTAGTATTATGTATATAAACCAATTTTTCCAGCCCCTTTCAATCAAGTCATACTCCAATTTGCACCAATATCTCATGCAATAAAGTTTCATCGGGATTCAAAGATCTAAACAAATCGAAATTAAACGTTTCATCATTTGGCATTAATCGATCGCTCAGTTTATCGATGGCAATCACCGACAAGCACGTTTGAACGTATGCATCTATTAGGTCATCGACACCGATTCCAAGCTGATTGAAGTCTTTACGATCCATAAGAAGCAGACGTTCTGGTTCGGATGACCATCGGCCGTCCTCCTGCTTAACCGAGAGATTCGTTCCGAGCATTTCCCATGATGAACCTGAGAAAAAGGAGATGAATGGTTTTAGTTACAAAATACATGATAGAATGTGATATAACGATATAATATGAAATGAAGAAGATGGCATAAATAGTATTATCATATTATCCTCGCGGGCTCCCTATTACTTATACTTACAGTTCGGGCTATCCTCAAGTTTAGTCACCAAAGGCTTTCTAGCCCGTCGAGCATACATCGCGACAGGTCTGAATCCATTCCTGTCGGCAGTGACCATGACTCGCAAGTCGGAGACGTATGTGTGATTGCGTCTGTTCGGAATCGTACCAACGTGGAAAAATTTGCCAGACCGAGTCATTGATGACCAGGAGGCGTTACCAACAAGCGATTGGACTATGAATTTATCATAGTGGTGGTTCATTTTGAGGAATTGGTCGAGCTCTTTTTGGTTTGTAATTGTGAATACACCTTGACCTAAGAAATTAGTGAAACAATTTGGTTTGTTTAACGGATAGTTTGTATGAACAGGAATATATAATAAAAACTTGTGACAAAGAACTAACTACATTTAAATCACTCGCATTAACCATTACTATTGTGACTTACCAGCATTACTATAAGGTATTTTCAAGACTGCATGCCCGCCCATATAATTTACCCATAATGGAATCGCCTCTTTTGTGACATTGTTTATCGTTTCCGGTATCCTTACGGACAGTCCTGAATCAGCCAATTCAGCATTGAAGAATTCGTATGCTCGAGCGGCCATCATTTTGTTTCTTCCGCCGGCAAGGCATGAAATTATCGGATTTAATAGGAGAGTTCTGGTGGTAAGTGGAAAACGATTCCAGGGTTTTTGGGTTACGTAGCGGAAGCAAGCACGGATCGAGTGGAAGACTGAATAGAGTGATCGGTTTTTGGTTGGAGGTGGAGGAGATTGAAGAGGAATGAGCAACGAAGAAAGAGAGGAAAATTGACAAAGGGTTGAATAGCAATATTTGAATATTCAAGAATTGGACTAGCTTGACAAATTGATATATCCAATCCCTCTCCATCATACTCTCTCTCCCAAAATTCCCCACTCCTCAACTCACCTCTATTCTCGTCTCTCACATACATGACCCGATCAACCCACTTGACAGGTGGATCATCATCTTCATCATTAAACTCGACGCACCACACGTTCTCCTTTGAAAGTTCTGCCAATACAGATGCATATGCCGTCGTCTCCATTTTATTCTTGTCGTAAACTACAGCCAAGTCTCCAAGTGTCGGATCAGCTTTTTCGAGGACTTCTTGGAATGCTGTTTCCAAGACAACGCGATATCCGCCATATTCTTCGGTATCGGATAACAACGGCATTGATTTCTGACCGGATGGGCAAGAATTGGTTTCTATTAATATCATTTGGCGTTGACCAGAGGCTGTTGTTATATTGAAGAGATCGCTTCCTAAAGTAGATACGCAGGTTTGTAAAAGAAAAGAGATTTGTTACATTGTATTCGACAAGATCGGTCTATAGAAAATTTGTCATATACGAAATTGGCTCTCAATAATATAATGAGGTTGATAAGATTTATATAGCTGCAGTGTGACATAATTATTGTTACACACGCATTGACAGCCGAGAAGATAAGAATTAAGAGACCAGATTACGACACAAGAAGGGAGTGAGTACTTGGAGTGAGAGGGCAGAAGCGAATTATAAGGGTCATGATAAGAACGTGATAATTGTCAAAAAAGTATCACCATCTCTAACGTTACTAATCTCTATACTAATACTAGAAGTCGTTCTGTATCTCGACTCACCTGCCCATTTGAATCTCTTTGGTTCATATTTTAAACAGTCCCTTAACTTATCCAAATTAACTTGAGGATTTAAATGTGCATATCTGGCCATTATTCTCTCGTTCCCCAACTGGAAGAAACTCGCGACCAATGGGTGGATAGTTGCATTAAGAACGCGAGGATAGAAGTGATTTTCTGATTCGAATTCACCAGGGTGAACCAAAGTTGCTTGGTTATGCTGATGGAATGTGGGTGAAGGTTGACTATTATTATTGAGGCTCGATTTTGGGTGGTTCTCGTTGCTGTCAGAGTCCGAGTCTGTGAGCGTTTTATCGAATATGTCTATGCCCATTGTTTTGATTTCCGTAGTATTTGTGAAGGCGTCTTTTGCAAGTGTTGTTTGTGATTCAGGCATTGTGTGGGATCAGTGGTTTATTGCAAATGAAGCGTAAGCAAGGAAAACGTTGGGTTTTTATTCCTTTTTTTTTTTGACGGTTACGTTATGTCATATATCTCATTATCAATGACGCTCTTTCCGTGATATGCATGATCACTTCGTTTACAATGATTGGAGGGTTGCCCTGTTTCACCACTACAATGAATATATTATTCACAAGAGAATCGAATAGGCGGGGTCGGCCCAATGGGGGAGTATCATTGTTCGGCTAATAATACGGCAGGTTGATATAATAAAATTAATGCAATAGTTCTTCATAAAGTTGAATACTATTACTGTGTTATCGTCTCGATGACTAGATGCCTTTTGGAGACAGTAAATAATGTAGGTCAAATAACATGCGGATTACCACGGGGCATATGGTTGGATACCTTTTTAGTCAAAAACCTGCTTAACGCTCGCGTCAATTGATATGACTACTACTGGCCGATTGTTTATCGCTGTAGAATCTGCTTATCGCCATGCATTACTCATACCACTTTTCTTTGTTGAGCACTTATCAACACAGCCACTGGAAACATAATATAACGTATTCTATCTAGTATGCAGTTTGATCGACTGCGCATGTTTGTTGGGAACTTTTCAGATACAGCAAATTAGTATAAAATCGCATCAGCCCAACGGGCTAAATTCGGTGAACGCCACAAGGTTAAAATCGCCTTCTTGTAAATCATGGCTCTTTGCTAGTATTTGATTCGTTGCTGATGGTTCTAAAAATATAACCAATGTTCCTTACACAGCCTTCCTGTTAGATAATTAATATGCGCGAACCCAAATATAAGAATAGTCAAGGTTTAAGGGGAAGAAATCAATTTAGCAGAAACCCCCAAAATCCCAGGCTATCATTTTAGAGAATGACATCGCATCTAATGCCAGGGACTTTAAACTTGTTTACAATAAACATTGCGTCATAGTGTCACACACAGTGTTATCTTGGCCAATCATAAACGTAGATGCTTGCGCAATACTGTTCGGAGCGTTCATAATTTGGGATAATACCCCTCCTGCAAGCTGGCCATCATTAACATGAAAAACAAGATCAATTTTCTTTGTGCTATCGTAACTATTGTCATATTATATCACAAATTGAAAAGCCCATGCTAATATTCATGTGCAACATGCAGCCGGAAAGAGCGCCAACTTCTATGTTTGAAAAGACAAACGACTCGAGGCAGAGTAAATATGATAAGATGCATGAACATCAACAAATTATGAGATATTATTGTCTTTGATAATGACTACTGAGAATAGAGACAACGTAATGCTTCAAAAACATCTTGTATAAATCAGCCGTAACCGCTAGTTTTGCAACCGGACCAGATATTATTATATCTAATGGCAACGCACTAAATGTAATGACAAATAAAATTTTCTAAATGGGCGTTATTACCGTCTCGTGAAAAAATACCGGTATTCATTACGTAATACGTAACCAACTTGTAAGCGGACAGAGAATAAAGTTCAGTAAAACCCATAATAATAATAATAATATCGCACAATCACATCTTGATACTATAGGTTCTCTGTTGATAATAAACTCCTTTCCGCCTATTATCTGTGATTTAAGATGATCATGAACAAAGAGCGGTGGTGGAACATTCGTATTGCATGTAAACAGTTAAGAGAATTTCCTCTTGGTTGCTTAACAATACAAACAAATCACCCCTACTGTATTGCATACACAAACTATTAAATATTCTGTATTATAAGTTGGTATGAAAATCTCCGGTAAAAACAATGATAATTGTACAAGTGTAAAGCTATTAGAATATCCCCGGCATCTTCCTTGTCGCGCGTAGGCAAGATAATCTTTGATGATCTTGATGATCTTGATGGGATGAATTTGACGCCGGTAACTCTACGTTCATTGGCCCATATGTTCCAATGAGCTCTGTTAGAAAAAGGTGAGTGGAATTAAAACTTGGTCATTGGTGGAGCAGGCCAATTACAGGAATAGAGTTTGAAGCAATGCACTGTTTACAATCGTTCAATTGTTGAAAGTAAAACATCAATTGGGCTACAATTGGGCTACACAGGATCCAGCCTACAAAAATTCTGATCTCGGACAGTTACATCCTCCTTAACGCTCCCAACAATATGTATTAAGCTATTGTCTTTATTCTTCGACATTATTAATTATGACCGTCACGTTAATCACTGGTTTCATATGTCGATATTAGCGACAAAAATAATTGATAACCAGTTCAAATGTGTACAGTTCCAAACTCATGATAAACTTTATGGCAATTAACCGAGTAATCGACTTCTTTTTTTTCTTCACAAAAGTATTTTATAACACTCTTTAACGTGATCTTTCATCAGGTTGACCAGTGGTGTGTCGCTTTCTTTTAACGATTTTTTATTCTCTGTTCGGGTTCTGTTATTACGTTTACTATGTTTGTCTTGTTCTTTTTCTTTTCTTTTTTTTTTAATATACTTATACAGTCACAGCGATATAGAGGCGCAGTATGGTACGATATTGTGTAACACATGGAGCTTTGCTATTGATCGGTTTATATTAATATTAATTCTTATCATTATATGGATGTAAACAAAATAATATCGGTTTTCCGAGCAAATTTTATTATACGTGTTTTGGGAATTAGAAAAATTATCGGTTTTGGCACTTATCGGTTTTTCGAGCTTTGACCGTAATTATTTTGGGGTTTTTTTTTGTTTAAGCTTTAAACGTTAAAGCAGGGAACACCGACAATATATTAGACTGAGAACTTAATGACAGTGAGACGGAGGGGACTTTAGTCTAAACATTTATTCACTGCTAGTATAAGTTGGTCTTGGACATGCAATATCTTTAAATTTGTCTCTGACAAATGTACGGCTGTTTTCGTACAGACACTCTTGTCTTTTTGTAATACAAAGGAGGAGGGGTTAATATTAAATTAACGTCTGTATAATAATCAATAAGCACCATTAGCAGCCATTTGAGCTTTGGACACTTTGGGTTGAGCTGTTTCAAATAGAAATGTTGGTATTTTTGTAAACTACTCAATTTTTTAAAGAAAATCCCAACACGAAATTAAGATCTAAGTATTGAAAGCCTTTTCCATTTCATGACACCGAGCTTTATTTAATCCAGCTGTATTCGATCTTTTCACAACCTTAACACACAACCTATCGTTGTTTTTCTATAGTTTCTTAATCAATCCAAAACTACCATCACGCTTGAATTTAGTATGTCCAGGTACTATTAAATTCAATTCAATACCTTCATAATAACCGCAAATTATTAAATACCGGTAAAATCAAATGGTGGTAGTAGTATTATTATTCTGTCCACCTGCGTTGTCACGAGTAATCTTTAGACGTTTTTCGCCTTTATTCAATTTCTTTATTCTATCGAATACCGTTCTCATCGAGAACGAAGTTAATTTGCACTTTACGCGGACTAGGATAAAGATCTTACTTACCTGTTGGTCAGAATGTGGAACGTGAACATTTTGCGCTCAATCGTGACTGTAATGAGTAGTAGCGTCAATGCTGCAATAATCGGCTTTATTTCTTATTATAAAATGCTCGTCATAACCCCCGGTCGGAAGAACACCCCTACGCGACAGATTAATCGCTCTCCCAAACCCCAGACCACCCGACCGTAACGGTCCGTTATTCCGTTGAGCCTTAGCTTAGACCAAATCCCATACGGAAAAAGTGTAGAACCTCCCCGAATATCTGTTGTTATATTCTTCTACTTTGGAATAACCTAAATGTAGTACATCGATGTGGGCGTTCAAAAAGTTTTTGCCAATTATGGGTTTGACAATTTTTTCCAAACTAGGATAAAGGTTTGGTCACAATCTTCAAAATAACCAAACTTCTGTCGATTCTACATTTTTAATGCTGGAAATTTTTATAAGAAGCTTTGTGGTGATAATGCATCATTATATACAGTTTACTTTGGATAATATGTCTCGATCTGGGAGGCACTAACATCCTTTCTGGGCATATTCCACAAGAAGAGTATCATAAATCTTTTGAATATTGGCGAATGAGGTTGCAATGTTGCATAGTGTAGGGAAGACTGTTTTGAAGGGTTAGCTTGATAACATTCAATGTTGTTATGTAGTTTGTTGAAATAAAGCTATTTTGCAAAAACTTTTTGAACGCCTCACGTAAACTCGGCATTTTAATTTCTGGGTAAATGAGACGACGAGCAAGGGCAAACGAAGACCAAACTTTGCTAACTAAGCAAGCTTTTGTATAGTGTGTCAGTGTACGAAAAAGAACATAGTCAAGCTGGAATGGAAAGAACAGCAAATCTGACAGCATGCAAGCTAATCGGAAACAGCCAAGCGATTTGCACCAATTCCCACCTTACAGTAATTAGTGTTATCAAATTAAAATCTGATCTAGTGATTCTTTTACCTTCCACGGTGCTGTTTATCAGATCCCATGCCAGATCACGCAACTTTCTGGTCAGTGACCTTTGTCGTGCCGACTACTGCGAGAGTAATCGACACTTGGGATTTAACTAGTCTCGACGGAGCGTGGCGCCTCCTATTCAAGTTAAATATCTGGGTACAGTTAGTGACCTTGTCAATGTCACTTACGGACTATTTCAACGTAGAATGACGTTAACCCTAGATAAGTAATCGCTCTCCCGTCTGGGGTACAATGGTGTATAAATCATAATAATGCGCATCTACATAACAATTAATTATCGTAATTTGCCACTCGAATAATCGCGGGACAAGAGATTATTCTTCATCGATATAGGGATTAACGGTTTCTCAGCTGTACCGATAAGTTACCAGGGAATGAATCATTAACAATGTATTTCAGAGTATAAAGAACTACACAGTGAAATTCACTTTAACGAAGACATTCTTGCTTCGTTAACCTGAAAGTTCGCTTAAGTGAACTGTCTTTGTATATGAAATATATGAATCCGTTCTGGAAAGAACTTCGTTATAAAGCGATCTTCGTTAAAGTGGAATTTCACTGTGTACTCATTTATTTACAATAAAGGAATCGAGAGTAATTAAACAAGGGAAACCATGTTCTGCAGACTAAGACTGTTAACTGGCAATTTGTAATACCCTCTCAGTTGGTCTGTCTGCAATGTCCACAACACCCACATAATGATTATAGTCATCAATAATCTCTAATGCTTTCCTAGAAAGATTCCCAAAGACTCAACAAACAGTATTTGCATTAGAACTAGTTCTCTTGGTCTACAATGCTCATGTGTCACGGTCACAGTCCATTCTTCACCAATATTATGGATTGTAGTTAACATAGTTACTGGGAATAGAGAGTTAAAGATGTTGCACGAGAGGTGTTAATTGTTCCAAAACGGGGCGAGTCTTTCCGTCGGCGTCGAACGTAGTGGCTCACTATATGTATATTCGCGGCGAACTTTAAACCAACATAAAGGCTAAGTGCTCGATGGTGTTAAGTGAAAGAGAGATAATGTTTGTCATTAATCTCTAGTGCCGGCGCTGTTGGGAAAAAGTCCGTTTGACTATGTTTATTTCGTTCTCAACTATTTTCACATTTTTAGTTTTTTGCATCTCAACTGTTATTGTTTCTTAAATATAGTCCTTTCGACAAAACGCGTCAATAGTCTCCTCCTCCAATTCCTCCACCACTTCGACTGAGACTCCCAAGCTGCTGTTTTCGTTGAGCATCCAATTTGGGACATGCTGTGATACGGTGACCCAATCCACCACAGAATGTACATCCTATGAAGATTACAGCAGTATTAGAAACCAATTGACAGACGTATCAAACAACATGCACTATTGCGGATATCAGTTATTAGTATAAAGTACATGCCTCCAGTGAGATCTTTAAATTTCTCTAATGGGTCTTCCAAAGCTTCAAGTACTGGTGGAACACGTTGCTTTGCTTCCTTAAGAAGATGTTTAAGATCCAAAAGAATTTGCTCCGAACAGTTCATGTTAATAAACGTTGTTGCCACTCCTGTCCTTCCAGAACGTCCAGTACGGCCTATTCTATGAACTATAATAACATTGGATATGTGACAATTGAGCATATAGCATCTATAAATCGTTAGAACAATCATGTAATTACCATAATTTTCTATCTCTTTTGGCATATCATAGTTTATAACGTGCTGAATGTCGGGGAAATCAAGACCCTTCGAAGCAACATCTGAAGCGACAAGGACGTCCTTTTTGTATTCTTTGAATGCTCTTATTGCAAATTCGCGTTCTTCTTGGGCTATTTGTTAATATGTTAATAAATGGTAAATAGACGTCCTCGTGTGACATACATGAATATTTGACTTTGGACCGAGTTGTTTACGGTAAAATACCGATGCTATTAATTCGTCTTACGGGGTGCAAGAATCATCACTCAACTGTGACTTTGATTACTACTCACTCTTTCCACCGTGAATTGCTACTGCTTCAACACCTTTGAGTAAAAGATATTCATGAATATCGTCCACATCATTCTTATTCTCGGCAAATATCAAGACCTTAGTAATTAATAAACCGTTCAGTATTGTATGCGAGCTAAAACAAATTGATAATATTAATATGACTTGAATGAAACTTACTGGTGGAGGTGTCTTTTGCAGGCATTCCAACAAATACACCACTTTTGCTTCTTGCTTCACGTATTCTACTTCTTGTATTACATCCAAATTGGCAGCTCCAGCGCGTCCGACATTTATAATTACCGGCTTAACCAAAGCTGATTGGGCAAAGTTTTGAATTTTCTTGGGCATTGTAGCTGAATAAAGCACTGTCTGACGTTGAGACTAACAATAGTAAAATACTTTCGGCGTTAGAGAATATGCAAGACCAGCGGTATAGAAAATAAAACTATAATGTTTGATATTTAGATAGACAACCACTTACAGTGAAATAAGACATGATATTGCGCACATCATCTTCAAAGCCCATGTCTATCATACGATCTGCTTCATCCAAACACAAATACCTTTGTAACAGTTATAAAATATAGTCAATGAAATACGTTGAACGCAGCGTCTACAGCATCAATTACCTAGAAATTGACGTACTTGCACAAATCGAGATTAAACTTTTTCTTCTCTAACATGTCCATTAATCTTCCAGGCGTAGCAACGACAATATGAATACCATCAGACAACGTGTGCCATTGATCAGCCATCGATATTCCGCCAATACAGAGCAATGTTCGTAATTTAGGAAAAGCATCAAGAATAAGATGTTCTATCATCGAGCAGATACTATCATACGTTTGACGAGCTAATTCACGCTGATTTGATAAACCAATGATCACGTTAGTATTACAGTAAAACAATAAATTTCTTTCCAACTACAATAACAACACACACAACACACAACACACCGATGGACACACAATCAGGCCTATTGGCCCCTCGCCTCTGACCAAAGGTAATTTCATTTCCTCTTCTAACGCACGCATAACAAGTGGTAACGAGAACGCCAATGTCTTCCCTGATCCTGTAAATGCAATTCCGATCATGTCTCTTCCCGCTAAACTATTAAACCAGAAAAAGCATAATGATTAACTCTCTTTCTGAATGAACATACCATTTATACACGACTTTAACGAAACAATGCCTTACGCTACTGGAAGACCTTGAAGTTGAATCGGCGTTGGTCTTCTGATCCCTTTTGATTTCAAAAAATCCAATATGGATCGTGGGAATTTCATGTTCTTGAATAGACAAATGGATTATGTAGAAAAATATTAATGTTGCAGAAAGAAGCACAATCCAATACTTACTTTAAAGTCTTTTATTGGAGGCGGTATATCTTCACCGTCTACATATATATGAAACTTTTGTCGAACATTATCGTGATCTTTCTCTGATTTCTCTAGAATGTACCGAGGCGGTCTCCATCTGTTGTAATAATAGATGTAAATTAATCGCCGAATTGGATCATGATTGACTAGAAAAGTTTGCGCGTACGTTGTTTTCACCGACTCGGTGTAGATTATACCCTTAGCAAGTTCCCGATCAGAGGCTAATAATCTTCTTTGTGCTACTGCTTCCATTATGGCCTTCTCTTCTTCGAGTTTTTTCTGCGCATCGGTTTTAACAGAATCTATATGGCATAATTTAATTACATTTGTTCACCCATGTAAATAAGAGAAATATACAGATCGTAAAAAGACCGATTTGTTTTTCTATTTGCAGGCACCTTCTATAGCCTTCTGTTTCTTCACTTCAACTGCTTGATCTATCAAACTGACATGTGCTTTGGGGCCAGCTAAGTAGTCATCTTCAGCTTCCTCTTCATTTTCGCTTTGTTTCTGTTCCTGTCTATTGTCGCGTTGACTAACGAGTTTCTGTAGTTTCTTTTCGCGTCGCCGTTTGATGGGCACATATGGAACATAGTCTTCCCCCGAAGACAAATCGGAAGAATCGGGCTGTTTTTCCCTTTTTTTCTGGTATGATTCGGCCGCCTTTTTATTATCTTTTTCTGTCTGTTCTAATTCCATTTTCATAACATATGGGCAAACTGATACATTGCATTTTTTCGATATAGTTCAGCAACTACCCCCAAGAGCACCAGAAATTACTGCCTATTGGCGTATTTCTCTGCGCATAATGATTGGATTGAAATTATCGTCCTAAACGGGAAAGTTGTCATTTTGGTTTTCCATCGCGGCATTTTTTTTACTAGCAATTATACAAAGGAAACGCAGAACACCAAGGAAGTTAGGCTTCTGGAACGTGTGGACGAATTAGATAAAGTCTTTTCAGGAATCTATTTAGCCATTTCTAGACAAAATATCTAAATAATCTACTTATGCGTCATTAAGACATTTATCGATAATTTTTTGCTTCGAAAACAGCAACTATTATATTACTATTACTGATGTTAATATAGTGAATATTGGATTTGCACCGGAGCGACCAAAGATATCCCCCATGCAATCACGTTTTAGTTTTCAACATTGTAGATCGCTATTAGTTTGACAATTACGCGTATGTGAAAGTAGCGCCAAAGTTCATAGACTATAACCTTTCTTATACTTATCAATTAACGATCGACCCAAGATGCGAAGAATATACATTAGACGATTTGTGGCGTCCCAGCGGTTTTGAAGTCTGTGGCGTTTTTTCACTTTATGCAAAACGTGGTTGGAGAATTGAATTCAACATTAAACTTGATGTCCCGCTGGCAAGTATAATAAAACACTCAATATTTCTGGTCTGACACAAGGTACTTGACAGATTATCCACGCACGAGTGGGATTTGAACATTCTTAGTTGTGGTTGGAGCCATCAACTTTTGATAACACGTAAGATGCTTTCAATATTGTTATGAATTTATCAGATCTTTACTTGTAGCATGAAGTAATATTGTTCGGAGGCTGCAAAATGAATAATAACTTACAAATACACGTAAATCCGAACGGTAAATCGTACTATGGTACAATAGTGAAGAAGATTGGCGTATTATAATTTGATGTACATCAGAGTGAAGGAAATGATGCTTTATTTTTTTTTTATTATTATTATAGACATGAGGGAGATTCTTCCTGACAATGAAGAAACTGTTCTTTTTAGATACTAAGAAGAGACATGATTAGAAAGATTAAATTATAATCCCATTAGTATTAGGAATACCCTTAAAGGCAGGAGGGTGTGATATAGTTCTGTTCTTTCCCGCTTTATTATATATATGCGGAATCACGAGGCATGCATTATAAAGTTTACCTATTAATGTTGATGTTTGTTTAATTCGAGTTGGACGCTCTCTCCTAATTGATTGTACAGATATAAGATATTCCGTATTGACAATCAACAATTCGGTTATATAATATGCAACAACAATTAAACATTTCATCTAGACTGTTGTTTCGTCAATACCAAAGCGGAGACTAAATAAAATACAACCATCATGAGCATTTAATTTAACGTATTGCGAACAAAGATTCCTTTACAAAATTTGAAATTAGTTACCGCGTTCTATCAAATAATGGATCAATAAGATTCTATGCGACCTCTCCTTTATTGTTGCTGGGCGGTGCCAATGTTTTCATGAAAATAGAATTCCTTTGGTACGCACCCACAGCGACCACATTGATTACAGGTTCGTTTAATTTGCCAAAGAACTTCGTTTTCACTACATCTGAAAATACAAGACACAACTGTTAAGCGGCTGCATGACAAACTTTAGTCCGGTAACTCACTGCTTAGATATTTTGGATGCGTTTATACTTACTGACAGTCAATCCGAATAGAAGGACACATGAGGCAATCGTTGGAGGACGACTTTTATTTATAATTATGATTAATAATATTATCGCATTTTGGACATGGCAATGTGCTCCTATGATTAAGCATAACGAAAGAGACACTAACCTCCTTCACATGGTTTACATAAGCTCTAGCATGAGTGAACAAAGTGAGGAATAATGTGACGAGCAAGAGAAATGCGCATAGCTTGGACATGTTCGAATGTGAGCGTTAGTTGCAAGTTTCTTCACGGTAATACATTATTATTATTATGTATTTGTACCAATGAGAAGAAATGTGTTACGAGTGAATGTGGGAAACAAGAAAACATAAGCCACCGTTTTTATCCAAGAGAAACCATTTCAGCTGCAGTTTACAACAAGAAGAAATAAGCAATCTACTCGTGCGAACATTTCCATGCATCGATCTCTATTCAGAATTTCCAAAACCGGAACAAAGTTTTCGTCTCCTATTATTATTATGGTCCCCACGTCGGCTTTAGCTCATTATTCGCTTTTGTTTATTCGAGCGTGGTGGCTCAATTTTTTGTCTGGATGTACATATTGATGTTGCATCCAATACTGACTCGTTTTATCAGAACACGAAGAAGACACGTCAGATTGCTCACCCGGCTACTCGTTTCCTGAATCTAGCACTGCGGTGTCGAATACGGATGCGTTAATGTTAAGACTATCCATAAGAAATGTTAGCTAGTAAATTTCAAGAGCATTGTATACCTTGGTGAGCACTGTAAATTTATTATACAACTGAGGTGATATGCAGTGGGTAGACAAAAGTCTCCGGACAGTATTGTACTTGAATTTTACATAATAAATGGGCATAAAATTCTAGTTTGAGTTTGATGTACCAATATCATATTAATATTTAGTTGGTCATCCCTCGCTTGTAATGCAAGCTTGTACCCTTGTTGATAATTCGCTCCCATTCCTCCTTCAAAGCCGCAATTAATCTGCTAATTGTATGGTAGGACACCAAAAATATTGTCCTTGAATTATGTTAGCTATTCTGATTATATGGTGGAAGAGTTGGGGCCCCGACTTTATTAAAACCAGTCCCACCGTAGGGTTTACGGTCTATCCAACAACTTTGTAACCATGTTTGTTGATGCTTAGGTTCTTCTCTTTTTCGCCCACTCTTCATAGCAATAGTATAACCACATCAATTTCCTATCACTGCATTAATAAATTTTATTGTGGCATTGAGATTAGGCGGGCAAAACAATATGGATACCCAAAACCCGCAAACAAAAAAAAGTAAAGAAGTTCGATTTTTCATAGTTTCTCATAGTGTCATGGTGACACTTGTCTAGAAAGGACTCCGGCGCTCTAACAAGAGCTAACTTCGTCACTATAAAAATTTTTTGTCACCGTGAAATCAATGGTGACAAATTTTTACGCATGGAGTTTGCGCATAACCATTTTCTATCCGATAAAACGAATATCACTATGCATTTTCTTTGATTCATCTTCTCCAGTTTTTTTCGGTAGTATTCCATTTTTCAATGGATATCACAAGCGCCATATTTAGAAAAAGTCAATTTACCACATTCTTTACAAGGTACGCGTTTGGGGGAATTCCAGTGGACTTGACACCCTACAGGTCTATAACAGCCCCGATTGCATACATCTCCAGTCCTAAGTATATAAGGACAGTACAATATGTATCGGTTAATACATTTCGGAAGTAATTTGAATTATTTTCTCTCGAATAATATATTAGCAAAAAAATGGATACCCAAAACACTAACGAAATGCAAAACATTGTTGTTTCTGAGCTCGGCGATAATTGCGCCCTCTACCGAGAAAACGTAAAAACAACCAAATTATTTTACCGGTTATTCCTACTCGCAATGATATAGTCGCAGAAAATGACGAGGGGTTAACTATGATTCTTGAAAACGCTTTAGCCAATCACCAGAACGTACCATTTATGCCCGTTGATATAGAAGAGTCGAATGAGTATATTAACCAAACTCTTCATTACGTTTTACGTCTCTATGGCCCACTCATGGTAGTGACGATTACTGGAATTAAGGTTTTCTTTGACACCCATATTCCTGACAATGAAGACACAGGGTTTTTCGAGTCTGAAATTAAAAATATTCTCGCCAATGAAAAAGATGAAGACAGAACCGTAGATGTAAGTAAAATTCGAATAGAGCATATAAAAGCGTTCCCTATCCGTGGTTACCATACGGAAAAAAAGACATATCTTCGTGTTTTACGCCAAATACTTTTCAGAGAAAAATCGCCCTAAATATTATTCGAAATTATAAATCTGAAAAGCAGGGCTCTTCGATTTTGGAAACCGCACCAGATAATCGTAATGCTTATTATCGCAAGGTTGCTCGCGAATATGGCATTTCTCTATCAGGGTGAGGAATGATAAGTAATTACAATTATGCTAATGTTCTCCTCTTTGTTCGTATGCTTTTCGGGGTTCTATAAATAATTTCCACCCCACGGAAGACTCATCAAACATACGCAGTTTATTTACCACTTTAGCTATAACACATGATCGCACTCTAGTACTAACATGCGATATAGAAACCCACACAGAACGTGGGTTAGATCAATTACCTCGACCATGGCATTTAGAGGATGCTGTATTAATGATTTGTATGACTAGACGTGTGAAGTGTGTTTATACTTTAGTACGCAAATCGTATTATAAAGAGACATTACGTAGTAAATACGTGATATTATAGATCAGAATTTTAAATTTTAGAATACTAATTTATATTGATGTTGATATCAGCGAGGTACATTTAATTAGGAATAAAATCTGATATGTGTTGATAACGGGATATGATATCCAAATTGATATATGCGGGAGAATTTAAATATGGGGAAATCCGTTCTGTAACCACTGTTGCTAATAGAGAGGTTGATATTAACGGGGTGGATATTAGAGAGGGTTCACTGTATATGAAAAATAATTATTGTAATACTTCCATCGAATATGAAAAAGCGATATGTTTCTCGGAGTTAGATTGCAAATGTGGTTGCTCAAATAATTCCGAGAGAAAATTTTGCCGAGTTACGTGAATCGTTTCAAGCTCTCTCTAGATCTGAACAAGATATATTTTTAATGGCCCGGCTGAAAGCAATGAATGGTGGAGAAATAACTGCCAGTCGACGTCTTAAAAAGAAAACGCGTACTAATAAGAAAACGGTTTACTATTGAGATTGCAATACGCCGCTTTGTCAGAAAACGTATCTAAATATGTTAGGAATTGGTCGCACTCACTTCGAATCACCTAGCGACGAATGGTATAATACCACGCGCTCATGGGAACGTAAAACAAATGCTGCAACAAATATTAATAATAACAGTAAGAAAAATTCTTGCATCATATATTGTAGATCACCTTTCCCATATTAATATTAGCTGATCTTCCAGCCACATCCGCCATTTTTAGCTCAATAGCTATCGCTATGTTCACTTTGTCTGGTTTTGTTGCAGTCTGCCCCATATTTGGTTCACGTGGGCGCATGATCTGATCTTGATGAGATCTTTGTAGGGATTTTGATAGGATTATTACCCAATCGGTGATACATGTGACTCTTTCATACAACTAAATGCGGACTAATTGGGGACATAGTTGATAATCCTCCTCCCCCAACATGATTGATCATATCTTGGGAAAACCCTCGCCTTCATGGAAACGGGCTCAAGTATTATTAGTGTCCATATCATGGTAGGAGGAAGTACTACAAATTCCATGCTTTCTATCCGCTGAACTATTACAGTTCGATAAAAATCAACATTCTTCATTTTCAATTGTAGGTTTTTCTACTTGTACAAAAGCGATAGACGCGGGCCAAAACTCTTACACAGATTAAATGAGAAATTGTGTGAGTATCTCAGGCAAACGTTATAGTGTTTATACTGTGTAATTAACTGCGTGATTTATGTTTGGGCTAACGAAGATATCACTCTTCTTTTGAACAATATGTAAGCAAAGTATTCGCCTTTCCAACTTGTAGCTGGCACTTTGGCATGCATGTACATTCTAAAGAATGCTGATCGATTGGTCGGTCTTGGATGTAAGCACTTTTGTTTCTCTAATAACAACAAAATATCAGCAACTCTCGATACGAATAACTTGTAACGTTAATTTTTTGGTTTCAATTGTTGAGTTAGCACCAGAACCGTTAGCAAGACTCGTATGTATATGCGACATAAACTCGATGTTAAATATGCTTTGATTTTTTAATGAAGAGTAACACATCTAACACAGCATTTATGATTAGTACAGTCGTAATTACTACAGAGCCACATGGGTTCTGACGGCAATCGACGCAGGTTTCTGGACGGCCATGCGCATTAGACCTAAATTTCTCAGGGATTTTGTGTCAATCATATTCTCCATCTACTATATAATATTTGCAGATCGAGCAGACGAGAAGGTTAGTTTGGAGAATTGATTAATATGTAAAAGGTTGATAAGTATTTATTGCAAATTTTTTTTTTTGCCATTAACAGTGTCGTCGTATTAGAGCCACGATAACAGTAAGACATATGCGCGTATCTTGGGAGAAGATGCTCAATCCCTATTTTAGAGCACTTATCAAACTTGGCAGTCCCCGTCTTACAATCGCCAAAGAAATCTCCATCCCACGTCCACAGAACAGTGCTTACGGACAGACGACTATAAAAGTATGGATATATTATGCTGGTACGGTTGAATCGTACAAGAACACCGATAGAATAATTCTCCACTTTCCAGGTGGAGGATTTGTTACAATGCCTCCGCCTTGTCATGAAGAGTATCTATCACATTTAACCAAAAAAACTGGAATACCGATCGTCTGTGTTAACTATGCAAAGGCACCTGAATATCCGTATCCATATGGTTTGGATGAGTGCTTTGACGCCTATAAGAGTATTGTCGAGAGCAATGGAGAGATTATTGGATTGAGTGGATGGAAATATGAAGATGGACGGTCGAAAGAGAGAATTAAAATTTCTTTGTTTGGTGATTCTGCGTAAGTGATTCCGCATCACCAAAGTCTTTTTTGACCAAAACAACCAGTTGACACGTATTTAACTTCCCATTACTTTTGTAGCGGAGGGAACTTTGTAGCCGCAGTTATGTGCAAAATAATTGAATCTCCGACCCCCCTTTCTCATCCATGTGCTTTGGTCTTTGTTTATCCATGCTTAGATTTTAACATTACATGTTGGATGCCTCCTGCACATGTAGCAGTTTTACGCGCAGAATCAACCGGTTCGATCCCAAGCATCATGGAATCAAAAGATCATCTGCGCTACCAGAGTCCTTTGGCTGTTGTACCGGATGTTAAGAAGCGAAGGTGGAGTTTCTCCAGATCCATCGACGAAAACGAAAAGACTATCGAACAGCGTATTCAAGTTGTGGATGTGAAACCACCAAGCCCTCAACATAGTGAAAAAACGCACCCGCGAACAGCTATTGAAACCCGTTTAGCAATGACAAGTCGTATGAGTTTTATTCATGATCGTGTGCTTACGCCAGATCTGGTAAGTGTTTTTATACCATCATCGTCTTGGCGAGAGTCGTTAATATTTTCGCTCCAACATTAATAATTTCATCTTGTTTTTCCGAAAGATGCGTGCAATGGCCATTCTCTACCTTGGTCCCAATAACTACCCTGACTTCCGCGCCGACTATTATCTCTCACCAATTGTAGCACCTGATAAAATACTCTCTCAGTTCCCTCGCACGTACTTCATGTGTGGGGAAAAAGATCCTCTAGTGGATGATACTTGCGTATTTGCGGGGCGTATTCGCGAAGCTAAACGTAAAATGCGACAATCAGCACACCGTACGAGTGCTGTAGGCGCAAACTCAAGCGAAGTCGAGGATGTTGAAGTACGTTTAATCAAGGGACAAGGACACGCATTTTTGTTGATGATGACATTGTTGCCGGAAAGCCATGGTGCAGTAAGAGCTATTGCAAGATGGTTCATGGAATGTTATGAGGATAAGCCGTTTATAAGAATCACCGAAGTCGGTAATACAGATGATCATGGTATTTTAAGGAACGGCAATGCTGCAACTGAACGTGAGACGATGGCTCAAAAAAGCCATCATCACGATGAAATAGACATGTCTTCCCGTCCTCAGTCTCTTCATATATCTCACTCACTGCCAGACATAACTATACTATATAGCAATGATATTAATACTGAGACTCATTTGCATACGAGTGCATCTGAGGCTATCCTTACACCTATTAATGAACGTGAGCACGTCAAGTGGGAACAGCGCCATATCGTAAGCGAGACAGATGTCATGAAGAGAAGACAGAAAAGTTTGGTTAAAGGTCTGAGTCTACCGGAAGAGTTTGATTAAGCATCCTGAAAGCACCTTATCAGGAAGAGCCAGATTTTAGCTGGTCGATGAATTTCGACCACAAAGAAATGCGACCGTTACCACGTATTAGATTTAAGAGATAATCAAGTAGAATAATATAGAAGGAATTATTTACATTGTTCTAATAAATATCAATTGCCATATTGAATGTTTATGCAAGAATTTTATTACAACAAGCATCTATCATATGTATTTAACGTAACGTAAATTGAAACTATTGGGCCCCGTGCGATTCGAATGATAGTCGCTCGGCTTTCGTAATGTTTTTTGAGAAAATGGCCACTAATAAATACGAAATTTACAATAATAACTCCCTATAGCCACAGTGCCCGCTTGACCTGGAATCCAACTTTCGTCATTATGCCTGTATTCTTATTAGCTTCAATAAAACTACAGACGAGAGAATGTCTTTGTAAGTAAAAACATCTAGATAATGATACCATTACAAGAAAGAGTCAAGTTCCGTTGTTTTTTTTTTTTTTTACCTTATGATTGGCTGTTCAACCACGAAGGATTCCTTATGGTTTCCGATCGCTTGACAGGCGGCTACAATCTCGCTCACAACTTCGTTGACAACCTGTTTTGCGGTCTGCGTGCCTGCTATATGATCGCCGCTAGCTCCACTATCGAACTTGGTAGCTTCCCCAACGATATTACTCCGGAATGCTTTAAACGCTACAAACTTTGTCTCTTCCTCATCGTTTTCCGTGTGATGGTCAGCATTATTTCTTATGCTTCCAGAATTAAGACGCGTGGATTCACCAGCCGCACAGTAATAAATCATGAGTCCATAATTATCATCGACGGTTGTGCATGATGTATATAAAGTTGTTAAAATGTATTCCCCTAATAAAGGTGAGGATGTTAGAATCAAAACTGAGGTAAGAGCACCGTTCTACAAATTATCATCTAATTGTAAGTGAACAAACCCTTGACTATGCCTTGAATCTCTCCTAATCCAATTCTGACAAATTGGACAATCTTCTCAAGGCCATAGTGATAAGTACAGATATACAGTGCTTTATTTGTTAGCAATAAAACCTTCTCTTCATATGATTTACTCCGCCTGCAAATGTTTACAATCAAGAGTTGAGAATTTCTAATACGTGAAAAGGGTATCAAATGTTATACATTATAGCATACTTGGCGTTTGGCTCGGACGGCGATAGAAAAGTCCATCCATTTGATTTAACCTCATTGTCATAAATTACTATGGAACTACTTATTTCAACTACGAGAATGAAAGAGCGATATTAAAAAAAGCAATTAATAAGGTATATGTTATTGCACGAATAAACCCTATTTTGAAGACAACTTACTTGCTGTTGCTCTAATCTTAGCCCAGCGATCCTCTTCGCCTGGTTCAGACGTTTCAAAACGTCTCTGCAATTCTTCAAATACTTCTACAGTTCGATGTCCAAGAAGGTAGTCAATAGTTGCCTAAAATTTACAAGCATAAAAAATTGAGCGATTAAATAAAAGCTAAATCCCATTCTCTCTACACGGTTATTATCTCCAGACAATCATGGCAATCACCTGACGGAAAAAGTCTCTAAACGTATTCTGATACATCCGGGCTAGCGAGTTTGATGCATCGTTGACCATTCCCTGAATATTGCGTTTACCTTTAGCGAAAGTATAATATATCCGTAAATGTGAGAAAATCGGTTGTTTTGATAGTCACAGTAAAATCATCAAAATGCGGCTTACCCGTCCTAATATAAAAAGAGAATTTATCTATTAATAACACAGTCTTTATGAACTGTATATATCTCATCATATTCAATCGTTTTACCTTGTGAAATCGCTCTTCAGTGCACTAGTTCCTGCATACTCCCTGCTGATTGAATCCCCGTTATTTGCCCATACTGATAAAGAACAGAATTTCTTAACAATCACAAGTAGAACGAGTGCCAGAATTATTACCATTACCATCATTACCATCATTGAAACTATTTTCAAATGCGTCATAGTGCGACACTCCATTGTCTAGTATTTCTGGTAGTCCAAACCGAAGGAGTTGAAGAACAAGAATGTGACGTGCGAGTGCACTCTGTTTAAGATGGAACGTGTGAGACGTTGAAACCTCCGAGGGTATCAGCAGAATGCTATCAAACTGACCTGTACTACGTTTGTTCTGTCTAAGCAATCCATACAATTCTAAATACATTGGAAAACCCCCATTAATAATGTGTACAAAACAAAAGCCTTTGTAACAAATCCGCAGTCTTACGGTGCGAAATATTCCAGTCTGACGGCAGTGTACTGGAGACCCTTCAGCTTTCCAGAAATATCTAAACAATGACAAACCAAAGTAAGACCACACGTTCCGACTCTTTCATTTATTTCTGCTATAATTACTTACCCCATCGCCGAAAACTCACTCTCCAATTGGACAATCAGGTTTGAAATGTTTTCATACTTCATCCCTCTACATTCTCTATGGAAATCAAATTCTACGTATCTGATAAAGTGAAGACACGTAACATTTCCCTTTGTCAATCGAAATTGTGGTTGATCGCGATACGTACCAACATACTTACCCAATATTATCATTGTTTAAATTTGCAACTGCCTCTTGATAGGCACTACCAATTATCTGCTCACGACCAGTTGACTCGGTTAAACTAATACAAACGATATGTCCGTATTGTTCAATCAATTGACGAAAATGTGCAGCGATTGCTAATTCATTGTCCTTTGGTTTACGCTCCAATACCGGTTTAGGCTTTAAGCCATATGGAGATTGTGACCAGAATAATGGCACTACCAATGCACGAGCGTTAGTCTACTCAAGACTACTAATAGGCGTAAATAATGAGAACGTTACAGTCAACTCACTTGAACCCCTCGCTTGTAAAAACGAAACAACATTCGGTACATTATCTATCTAGAAGATATAAGCAGTAAAGCAGGTTTACTATGAAAATGGCGTGCTCACAAAAACATTGAAAGAATAAAAGTTCCCTATATTTACTGTTGCCAAAAGAATCTGCTCTGTTTCGACAAAGTTGGCCACGTGTCCCTGTTCGTTTATTCCGCGTCTTTGATATCTTAATCCTATATAGAACACTAGTTAGTACGTCAAATTCTAATTATTACAAACAAGAAACTTTAGCATACCTGCGCGTTCTCTGCTTCGCCGAGAAATCAAAATCAAATAAAAGGGCAGATCTTCTATTTCGCACGATTCAATTTGTACATAGCCTTGCATTATGGGCAAAATCCATGAGTGAAGCTAAAATAGAACAAACAAGACGACATTGATTAGTCAACGCGGGAAAACGTCTATTGAACCAAAACCTGTATACTTGATATTTACCTCCATGTCAATCAGACACTGTAACATTGATTCGTTCCACCAGAACTGCTTTGTCATCTATTATACCATAAAGGATGGTTCGCATATGACGCATGACGAAATCCAAAGAGAATGGTTAGCTGATCCTGGTATCTTACTTGTTTCCATAGTGGAATATTCTCGCATGCTGCCAATTTGTCTTCCTTCTGTTGTAAGGATGTTGTGAGATCTATTTAACGATAAATTGTCTGTTAATTATATAGTGACACAAATCCAAAGTAACAGAAACTAGTAAGTATTGTTTATCTCAAATTCATATATATTGATACACCCACCATAGTCATATGAAAAGTAAAAGGACTCTCCTCGGAACAATAACACGATCTCTTTTATTATGCGTTCATCCAATATCTAATATATAAAGATTGCTATCATAAGTGACTTGCCAAGACTAAATCGTATGAAATACATTCTTATTCATTCTTTTCTCTCTTACCTTAAAATCCGTTACGTTGTTTAAAGCGACAACGTCCCGTACACCGACAACCTCGTTTTTTAGCCCATCCCAAGCCATTACTGTTAATCTCTTAGCAGCAGCCCCAAACCCCTTTTTATCATTCTCATCCTCTTTTTCGTCATTCTCGTCCTCCCTACATTCACCCTCAGGGGTGACTTGACGGAATACAACAGTTTCCGATATCGTTACACTCTCGAACTCGATATCTTTCTCAGCATCGTCGGATGTGTCAGATGCAACCGATGAAGGTCTCTTGGTGAAGGCCGATTTCACTTTCGCAAACAATGAATTCACAGGCTGTCTAAACGATTCCATTCTAGAAGGTCTTGAAGATTGCACGAAAGTCGTAGAGTCCGTTGAGGTAACGTTAGTTTCGGTGATACTAGTTTCTGTGGGAAGTGATTGACTAATTGGAGTCGTTGATTCCGGAGTGGATGATAGTTCTCTCTCTGATATCATTGTTGTTGCAGGGTCAACGTCTTCAGATGTAACACGGCCGTGGGACGGAATAGGGATCGAGAGGCTATCGGTTGTTGAAGACAAATCTTCAATCTCTCTGACAACCTACAAAGATTATATTGAATATAGGAATTTTATTACAATCAACATCAAAGATCAAATAGCATACACGACGGTCTAAAACACGGCAGGCTTCTTCATATTCGAATGGAACGACGGCAATTCTCGTGATGGCGTAAATAGTCTTCCCTTGAATCTGACCAAGAGGCCTGCGATTAGTGACGACTATAATATAGTCGTCTGTTCATATGTTTGAATGATATATGAATAAATATGAGTGGGAGCCGTCTTATGCGCCTCATATTAATAAAATTAATTCTCAGAAACATACTGACTGCTTAGCAGCTTAATGAATCCGATTATCCCGTAAATTTCATAATGCCTTGTGGTAGATGTTGGCATATAGTCATCTGTAAAATAGAGTTGGTTAGCCCAAGTAACTTTGTTTCGTTCTTAGAGGGACAATTTTGTCTTTACCTTTGACGGATAGATTTCCGGTGTCTAAATCAATTCCCACGATGTCATTACCACCTGTCAATACGAATGAATCCGTGTCGATAGATAACGTAATCTTCCGATGAATAGAAGGTGTCGTCTGTGTTTGTTCTGCTGGGGATGTCTTTTGTTTAAACATGCTTGTGCCAATAATAATAATAGTAATGATATAATTATAGACTGACTCACCTGCGAGTCTATGCTTCTGCATAATTTAATATTAATTGATTGGCCTTTCGACATCAATTATGATTGGCTGCCGACTACTATAAACAAAACACAACGCCTACTACTGTGATTTAAGTACGGTAATTCGAACCGTGCTTGTCACACTAACAGCATGCTTGATCTGATAGCCTTCTGTGTTTAAATTAAAGTACTCCGAATGTTATGGCATTTATAAAAGCTTAAATAAGATTGAGAGTAACTACAGCATTATTTGAACTTGTATCACGTGGGTGATGCGGATAAAATTCACCCACAATCGTATAACAAAAGCGACAAGCGAGTGCTATTGGTACAATAATGCAATAGTATAATAATGTGTTTATGCTAAATTTAGGTTGAATAATGGAAGTCATTTGTCTCGGGGAGGAGCGCCTATATCCTCAAGATGCAGTGAATGGAGAGACACATCTTTGAACTACGTAAAATCAAACAGTCGAGAGCTATATCGCGTGCTGTTACGAGATAAGATAGCACAACGTATATAGTAGAACAACGCCATTTATGCATATACGTAAAAATTAAGAATAAATATAAGAATAATTGAGTGTTTTGCAACTGGTGAGAGAAATGGGCAGCTGTTAATTAATTGTCATTATGTTTGTGCAATTTGATGTGACAATGAGCAGAAATACTATAGTATCACAACATTTTTATAACAATAACTTATAAAAACAATAATTGGTTGATCAATTAAAATCAATCAATAATAAAAAGGTCAAGAGTTGATGAACAGTCAAAAAACTTACTTGGAGCTTCCTTCAGTCTTTATGTAACCAAAGGTCTCAAGTTTTACCACTTACAATGTCCTACCCATGTCGATACGGCGTCAATCAAATAAGAAGGTGGTTAAAAATTAATTTGTTATTTTTCTATTACCTATACAAAAGGCTCTTATCCGAATCGTTCTCTGACGTACAATACCTTTATTTAACCGAAGACATGTTCCGGAATTTAAAGCTTTAGCGTTTGTTGCACAATAGACATTTGTTAAAAACAAGTATCTTTGTAAGATACTTCAATATTGTTACATTATCATGAACACAAGCTTAATATTCTTTGATATTATTTGTCTACATCTTTAGGAAGCAAAGAAAAAACCCCCCATTTTAAGGCTTTGCCGTCAGATAAACTCGGTCATAAGTCGCGCATTATATATAAAATTTTTGTGAGGACTGAATAATGTCTCATGTAATATGTACAAACTTGATAAAAGTTCGAGTGTTTTAACATGAAACAGTTTGAAAATACATTGTCTATTGTTTAGAATTAAATAGTAATCCGTGAAATAACTGTCTGTTACGTGAAACGTTATAAGCCAGTTAACTTGAAGGGCTTGTATTTGACTTGTAACATTTAAGGGGTGTAATTATTATTGAAAATTTTCTTGTTGGCTTTAAAATTCAAGAACTATATGTGATCTGCTTCAGTAAACTGCATGGCATAGCCGATCAAATATCGATACTGAAAATTTTATTATTAAAGAAATACTGATAAGACTTGTGAATGAGTTTCTAAATGCGTAAGAGACAATCTGACAAGTCTTATAGCATGATTAAGTTATTAATACATGTTGTCTATTAAAGCCGATATTGGTCAAGAATGCAGAGTTAGTTTATTCCAGGGACTAACATCATTAAGCAAACAGTTTTGTGCCTAGTGACATGCGGGTATAATTATTAATCGAGATTCGTTGCTAAATATGACTTTATATTGACAGTTATCCATAATGACAATAATGAAAATATACTATCATAAATGGATTGTTTCATAATCTGTTAATATGAATATTATTATCATATTTTTTGATCACTTTTTTTTTCCAATATTCAAACTTTCCTCACCATATACTGTATGAAGGCTGCAAGACATAAAACACTTCAAATAATAACGAAAGCGTTTACAAGTATAACGCTTACTCATTGCTTTGAGGAATTTTCTATTTTCAGTGAAAGTGTGAATAGTAAATTCTAAATTTGCGCAACTAGAATTTCGTTTCTAGCTTTATGTGCTGGTTGTCGCTATTATTCGGAATTTACAATTATTAATTCAATAAATTAATAATCTAACTTTCATTATTTATTGAACAATGCGTCGAAATCTGGGGTTTCGATACCTGTCGTACCAAATATTTGACTATTAATCTAAATTAGCTAGTGTATTCTAACTTCTAATTCTTACATTGGATTCTCGTAACTGTAGGCAAGCAATATTAGAAAAAGATCATACACAGTGAAACTCGATAAGTCGAACACGACTGGCTGGGCATGATTATCCGACTTATCAAGGAATCCGACTTATCAAAAGTATTTTAATATGAAAAAAAGAAAAGGGCAGAGGGATTTTGTCCGACTTATCGATTTTCACTATGTATGATACATGCTTCTTTTTTACGATTTCAGTGCTGTTGATTTAAACTTTATCTATGACAGAATTGTTAACAATGCTGGATACCAAGATATTCTTTACTATCTGCTGCAAATAAGTCGGTACTGCTTTGTCGAGAATACAAATTCTGTTTCATGATCGATCTCCATGAAGATGTATTCGACGCTATTTTATTTTTCAAGAAATTCAATTTTCTATTTAACTTTTTAATATTAATATATTACAATAAACCATACTCCTTTGATAAAAACTTGGTCAATCTGATAATTGGAAGTTTTGCAGAAGTTTATTTATTTCTTCTTTCTATTTCAGCCTCATTAGCAACGTCAAGCGTAGGTATTAGTATTAGTATCCATTCCGTCAATCGAACCCCTGAAATTCTTCGCACACGTGAAACTTGTGTTGTAAATTTACTAAAGGGCGCTGCCTTTAAACCGTTAATCTATGAATCATGTGATATTGGAGTTATGGCCATTGTATTCAGATGAAATTGCAACATCCAACTTTGAAATAGCAAACCAATTCAAATGTGGGAGCAGTACAGTCAGCATATATGGTTGGCAGTTAAGACGACTCCCAAAATGGCCACAACTAGAGGAAGCTTTATCGATGCATCTTAATTGATAATCGTGATATCGACTCTGTTGCAATTTGAATAATCACCTAAAGCTAAGAGATATTTTACAACCATGGAATCCTGAAGATTTATTTCCCGCGAAACCGTAACCGTTGGCTTTTTAGCAGCGCGCTGAATTTGCTTATTACAACAAAAAACTGAAGAATACCATCTCGATGGAGAGAATTACAGTCCTCTTTGCAGCGAAACTCTACTGGAACAGAGAAGTTGCCCGTCGTTCTTATTAATAGGAGCCAAAATCCACGAGCTCTCCAAGAAATTAGCAAGAATAAACTTCCCGCACATTACTGTACTATCTGAGAAAGGAATTGATTGAATGTTAGATTTTGATCTTTATGGATTGGCTTGTGAATCTCGATGCAAAAGATTTTTAATGCTTTTAAACAACGCATCATGCCATAAAGAGCCGCAAGGCCTCCCGAATATCACATTACATTTCTTACCACCTCGCACCACAAGTGCATTGCAGTCATGCGATGCTGGTATAATTCGGTCATTCAAAGCTTAGTATAGGCAAAAGTTTATACAAATCGTGTAGATGCTCATGACGAAGCTTTAGACAATGAACATTTTACTCAAACCTTTCATTATCAAGGATGCAATGCGGACGCGTGGGACTATGATAAACCAAGTACTATTGTAAACTGTTGGAGGAAGACTAGCATCCTGCCGGATGGGATTGAAACAGTTTGAGAAACCATCGAATCGTTATATACCTATGATACGGAACAAGGCGACATTACAATTGGAAATGGAAGATTGTAACTGTCTAGAAAACCTTTCTAACAATTAACTTATACTAATAGAGAAACTGCTGAAGGTATGCTTTGTGGTGACGACGGGAATCTTAGTATATCTACATAGTGATGATTCAGTTTCCATTCAGCGATGAAATTATTATTCAATCGGTTGTATATGAAGACGATTCGGTTGAGATCGTTGAAACACCAAGGAAAATATCATACGTCGTCGACAATGTTCAAATCAGCAATTGAGTTTCTTAAACACAGCCGACAATTTTCCTGCGGGAAAGAACGACATCAGTAGATTGCGCCAATTATAGAGTTAGAAAGGGTACAGAGCCTTCAACAAAAGGTTTTAGGAAGATTTTTCGATCGCACTCCTACAGTCCCCGTAGTACGTTGTCTTTTCGGCTTGTCAAATCGTTGTTTCCCATCCTGATCAATCATCAATAAAGACGTTCGACGTTAGCATTATTAAAATACTTTATATCACATGATCCTCTAGTTAGAATACAATAATAATAACGGATCTCTGGCCGAAAAACAGCAAAACAGGTCCGTTGGGTTTAAATAGGTTTCACCTGTTTAAGAAATCGTGTAACTTAAATTTGTCATACACTCCTCTCGAATGGACGATTCTGTTTCCTTCAAAAATGTCTTCTTCAGACCCAGAAGATTATATGTCCGATATATTCTTAGCGGAAACACCAAAACCCAAAAAAGCGACGCTTACATACAGCGAGCGCCGTCGGTTAAAGTTATCGTCTAACAGGGGATCTATCAAACCACTTCGAGAACGTGAGAAAGAAAGCCGTGAACAAGGACTGAGTCAACGGATAGATACAGAGGAAAATGCGTCGCCTGGATTGATGTTACTTAGGAGAATGGGATACAAGGAGGGCATGGCATTAGGAAGATCAGCGGGTGGAAGGATCGACCCAGTGCCTGTAGAGATTAGACAAGGTTAGTTAGATGAAAATACGCTCGATCGGAGGCATTCGTTATTGTGTATGCCATAATTCTATCAGCTATCGCCTGTTCATGGATCCGAGTATTGTTGTTCCGTGATCATGCCTAACCATCAATCGCGATGCGCTTGTGATAAGTGGTCGGTTGAATAGTTTTTGCCAAGTGATTGGCAGTTGA